CCACTTTTTTATCAGAATTATACTGCAGTTTCCAGTCAGTACAGTGAGGCAAAGAAAATAAAAAGCATAAAGATTAGAAAGGAAAAACCAGAATTGTCATATTAAAATATTATTTTATACGTATGAAATCCCAAAGAAACCTCAGATACATTATTTTGATTAAGATATAAAATCTGGATAGAAAATCAATACACAAAAATCAGTTATAGTACTATATACTAGAAACCAGAAAATAAACAATTAAAAAGACAGCATTCATAATAGTATCAAAAATATGTAAGAATAAGTCTAACAAAAGAGTTGCAAGACTTGAGTAAAATTATAAAATGTTATTAATAGGTATTAAAGAATACCTAGATAAATGATCATAGATTGGGGGCCTCAATATCATAAATATATAAATTGTCCTCTGAAGAAATCACAATGAAATTCCCCAATATTTTTGCACCCAATAAGCTGATTCTAAAATGTATATGGAGTTTCAAAGGATAAATAAGAGGCGAGAATACCATGAGGGGACATCTGCTACCAGGTATCAAGAGTGACTATTAAGTTAGAATTAACTGCGGTCAGAGATAGTCCAAAATGTCAGTGGAACATTGCCAGTTCAGAAACAGACCTGTGTTATAGCCATTTGCTGTATGGCAGCAGTTACATGGCAGTTTGGTAGGGAAAGGACAGACTTTAATAAATACTGCCAGGAAAATTCAGTATTCATGTACTTTTTAAAAGAGAAAAAAATCACACATCTATTTTACATAATATAAAAAAAGATTTTCACCAATTTTATTTTTCAAAAGATGAGAAAAAAATTACACCTGTTTCACACAATATACAAAATAATCCAACTTGTTTAGAATAGGAGAGGATAATAGGAGAGGATATAGAACTTAGAAAGTAATATAGAGAAACATTTTCATGAGTGAAAAGTAGTAAAGAATGTCCTAAAACCCAAAAATGTTGACTCTAAGGAAAAGTTTACGGATTTTACTACATTTTTAAAAAACTGATCACCAGAAAGATACTATTAAAAGATTGAAAAGATGAGCTATCGATTGGGAGAAGATATCTGAAACCTGTAAAACCAACAAAGGGCTCCTTTTGAGAAGATATGAAGAACTCTTCTAACTCACAAGAGGGACAACACAATAGAAAAATCTCTGCAACAGACTCCAGTATCTTCCTCTATAAAAGAGGAAACTCAAATGACCAATACATGCTGTATGTGAAAAGGTGCTCAACCTCATTATGAATCTGGAATATGTATATGAAAACAAATATGAAATACTCTTGCTTATCTAATAGTTGACAAATCACTTTCAATTGAAAATACCAAATGTTGAGAGAACGCAAAATATTGGGAACCCTCATACACAGCTGGTGTAAATGTTACTTTTTTTGTTATCTACTCAAGCTGAAGACAACTTATCCTCCATGATTTCAATCTCGGGGATATACTTTAAAAAAATGGGTACACACATGCCCCAGGATTATTGTAGCCTGTAATTGTGCAAATCTGGGATACCCATCCTGCATAGAATGGAAAAACTATGGCATATTCATACAATGGTATGCTATGCAATAATGAAAATGAACAAGCTACATAGATAAGTTTAACAAACATATATTGAACCAAAGAAGCCAGACACAAAAATATGAATCCATATCCATAAAAGTTAAAAAATGAGCATTGTGGGGGATTCATTTATAAGCGGTAAAGTTAAAAAGGAAACAAGGAAATCACAATGATAGTCCCTCCAGAAGAACAGGAGGGAGTTTTGATGGAGAGAAGCTCATGGACTGCTGGCCATTATATTGGTATTTATTTTTATAATTATTTCCACTAACTACAAAATGTATGTATATATACTTTTCCTGTGTGTTTGTTGTATAATAAATGAAACAAAAATAGTACAAAATCAAGGATGTGTACACAAATATTTAGTTATAAAGTATTAACTATAACTATGTCTATTATAGGGGGAAACTCCAAACTTTGAATCACTGCTTTGGATTATGTAAAAGAATGAATCAAATACCTCACTGCACACAGAAGAGAGTTTACACAGCCTCTAGAAATTGTAGAATATTTCATGGCTTCTAAAGATAATTGAGATATATATTTAGGTGGGAGATGATGTTTATCATACATTATGCACAGATATTTCAATGTTTTAAAACAAACTTTGAATGCTAATACATGAAAAACAATTGGGAGAAACACATTATAATGTTAACTATGATTCTATTTGGGTGGTGACTTTATGAGCAATTTTTGTTTTCTTTGTTTTGCTCATTTGTATAGTTTTAATTTTGAGCAATGAATATGGATTACTTTTGAAGGAAATAAAAGGAGACAATATATTCTATTGGGAAACAATAATGAAAAAAGAGCCTAGAGATCTCAAAATGGAAATAAGAAATGTGGTATTCGTTAATATGTGTATTTGGAAAACACCTGGAATCCTACCAGCTGCGATGAGCCCATTTGAATATAACTTTTCCCTACGAGTGGCCACCCACTTGGTTCTCCTTTCCCAGCAGGCGTAGCTCTGATAGTGAAATCAAATTCTGGCTGTCTGCTTTGGAAGTAAGTAGGGCAGTGGGGTGGGGGAAGGTGAAGGGATCCTCTGAGAACAGCCTGCTCCTAATTGAAAGGAAGTGAAAATCCTCCACATGTTGCAGGGAGAACTGGTAGATCATCCCTCAGTTCTCCTCCATCTGTTCTGCTGCCTCTTATAGAAACCAAGACAGGAAAAATGAAATGTACCTAACACAGGAAATGAGGGTAGTCATTTGAATGATACAGTATCAGAACCCTGGAAAGTATTTTGGGCAAGGTGGGCAGTGAAACAAAAGGCACCAATCATAGTGCTCAGATCTGATCTCACACTGGGAAAAAGTAGGTACCTAAAGACCCCAAACGATGGAGAGTGGGGAGGACTCCAGAGTCAGCGCACTCACATTCCCAACAGCCAGGTGGGTTTAACCGCTGCATACCTGTTAGCTCCTCAGGGTGGAATTTCCCAGCTGCTGAGCCATGGCACGCTGGTTTTCCCTATGCTACTGATCCCATCAGCCCTAGAGGTAATGGCCTCACCTCCGGGCCAGCAGTTCTGACAGCAGGCACTTCATAAATTAGTGAAATAGAGGAATTCACAGAATACTTCTATAGCAGGTAAAGAAAGTAAGAAAACATTAAGTGGAAAAAGGATGTTAATAGCCATTAGCATGCAACTACTATGATTTTTATTATCCTTTTCCATGTGTGTCATGACATATAAAGACCTGGGAAGCATTAGAACTACCATAGGTCATCCCCTCATTAAATAAAGTACAAAAAAAAAAAAAAAGAAAAAAAAAGAAAAAAAGAAGGGCCAGGGGGTGGGAGTTGGATAGTGGCTTATAGGTCAACGTACTATTTTTCAATAGAAGGCCAGTTACTGTTAATAGGTGTGCTATAAAATAAAGAGGAGTCAGATGAATTTGGGGAAAACCAAGGTTTTTAAAAGGTATATGTCATTTCAGGAATTCCTAGGGCCTGTAACTGACAAAAATATATTGTGACTTTCCAGAAGTATAAATAGCATAGAATTATTGGGCCAAAGCTTTTCGACCATAGAATATCACCTGAGGAATATGCTTTGCAAATTGCTACAGTAATCTCTCACTGCTGCACCCACGCTTCACTGAATGTGTGATATAGAACGGGTTTTGATCCTCTCCCACCTGATGATGATTGTCCCCACACTGGCTTTTTTCTTTTACTTATGGCAAGTCATTGGCCTGATAAAGCTGAAACTACTAATGGGCTACTCAGGGGCTTTCATCCACCTGAGTCCAAAGCCTTTGCAAAATGACTTCCCGGAGCTCAGAGGCAGTCTGTTGCTGGAGCAGTTAGCACTTTGCCAGGAAATAGATTGTCTTCCTTTTCAGTGTATTTTTCGTTTCTCAGAAGAAAGAAAACTAATAGTCTCAAGTAAATGAATAGAGGAACGTGCAGAACTCTCTTTAAAATGGCATCGCCATGACTTTGCCAAATAAATGAAGATATATTTTAGACACGTATACTTGCTTTACATATAACTGTGATTTCTTGTTACTTTGCTGATTTTCTTTGAAAATGGAATATAAATATTCAATCAGAGGGATTGTTCTGTTGATGAAGTCCAGTTAAGTTGTAATAAGAACTAAATTGATTAAGAACATAGGGCTAAGAATCATGTAGCCTCTTAACCTCACTTTTTCTAAGCTTCCAGGTAGCCCTTTATTTTGCAGGAATGGGAACTCCAGCCATCTGAACAGAACGCATATGAAGTCTGCATGCCAAAAGAAATAGAATTTTGCATTTATTTTCTGTTTCTACTTCCACTTGGAAAGTATCCTTTCCCCCCAAGAAACACATTTAAAAGGTTATAAAAGGGGCTTTCTGTTTGGGGCCAGAACCAGAAAAGGAAAAACAATGGAGAAAAAAAATATTAGCTCAGCTTTTCCAGACTTGAAATAATGTGTGATTTTTGTAGTTTCTCCAACTTTTGAGACTAGGTCTGGTAGAATGCTTAATTCTTTCAGCTGGCGAATCACCTTTCCTTTGTGGGGATATTAATGTCAAGTTAAAATTTCTCCATATGAATAAGGAAAAAAACCATGTGAATACAGCAGAGTTGGGACTAGACTGATAAATAAAATCATTCTGTCCCTACCCCATTAATTCTCCCTTTCACCATTTGGAGGTCCTGTGGGCTGAAGCAGTACATCATTTAAATAGTACCTTCAGGTGTTTCACTGAGACCTAATTAAAATTGATGTTGTCATCTGGTGTTTCCTTGTGCAATTTGTCTAGCTCCATGCAAATTGCAAAACAGAGCTCTCTTCATTAGGACTTTGTCCTTCAAGAAACTACCCAAGATTTCCTTCAGGTGCTGCAGAAAACTATTTGGCCAGTTTGGGGAAAAAAAAAAAAACTTAAGAGTCACTAAGTTCACTGATTTCCTTGGCAGGATATCCAAGTGGTCCCTTTGAATGGATCTGCTGTGACAGGTAAGACAGTATCCCCCAAGACTTTCCATTCCATAACTGAATTTTTTTTTAAATTTCTTACGATTATTTGTTCTCACAAAATATATGTATCAGTCTCATACTATGAACCTTGGATATAAGGCTATGTATAGGCAACAAGACCCCATCCTTTGGTGGAGCTCAGACTAGCAGGAAGATAACCATCAACTAGTAATTAACAATAACACATAATGAAGGCATCAGGAAGAAGGAACTGGCACTGTGTATTTAACATAGGGGTCAGGAGGGCCACTTCCCTGAGGAAAGGAAATCAAGATACCTCCAGAAGGATACTGAGTGGAGATGGGGCTGGAGAGGGTACCACACTCTCCAGGTATGTGCTATATATCATCGGAATAACAGAGCTAGACATTTGCTTTCTATCCTTCATGCTTTCGTTCAAGTTTTGCCTTTAGATTTACAAATTAAAGACCAATTTCCCCTCCTAGAAGACTATTAATAAGTTTGTAGCTATGGTCGTTTCTTCTGTGTTTCTTTAGAAAACAATGATTTTAAAATAAAAGCTACCTTTTATTAAACATTCACATTGTGTCAAGCCCATTGAAGTCTCACAAATGTTTTCATTTTATCAGCTTTTGAGAGAAACTGGAGTTCAGAAGTTTTACTCAACTAGGCAGTGGCCTAGCAAGGAATCAAAGCCAGATCTAAGACATTCAAGTGTCTGATTTTAACCACTTTACTGGGGTTTTCTTCATGTTCACATCTACAAACCAATTCATCAAAATGATATGGGGAAGTGTTTGTTAAAAAGAGTTCCAGGCCGCCCCCCACAGCTGTTTTGCGTCTGAATCTCTGAGGATGTGGACTGGGAGTTTGCAGTTCAACAGGTTCCCCAGGTGCTTCCCATGCATTTGAGAATCAGTGCACTCCACACAGCTATGCACTTGTAAGACAGGGATGTGGGGGAGACAGACCACTGCTAAGACAGTTTACTGTACTCTTGTCCACGTTCTTGGATTGCTCTCTTGGCCATTTGATGAAATACTACAATGTAGAATGATTATGATTTTCAAACTGCAAATAGTTTAGCCTCACATTTTGGCAAGATGTCTAGGCAGGGTTCACAGAGAAGCTGCTTATTCAGGCTTCAGCCAAGCTGTGAAAAGTGAGGCCTTTTCAGAGGAAGTGAGATAAGACAAAAACTTAAAAAAACAAACATTCTGAGGCGGTGTTTAAAAGGCCACCAGCAAAATCTATAGCCTAACTAGAAGTGAGCTAAACAAACACATTACTGGATCATCCAGGAAACATGAAGCAGATGCCTGGAAGTGGGATGTGTGTTTTCAACCTGGGTAGAAATATCCCAGGGAGTGATGATATGGAATCAGACGCAAAGTTCAGATCAAAACAACAAGGGAGATTGGCAATGGGCAGTGCACCCAGGATGGACAGGAGATGTTCCAGTCAAGTAGTTCAGAGCAAGTTCAGAATAGGAGGGAGACCTGTGTCCAATCTCACTTAAACTTATATGCCTTCATTTGCACCTCCTCATGGAATTATCTCATGGCCGCTATTTGAAAAAGGAATGGCAGTGGAGACCTAGTGGCTAGGGCCAAAGCCTCAGAGCTTTTGAATAACGAAAAAATTGTGGTGCTGCCTACTCTTTCCCGTTACATAATATAAGATAAAAACAATACCGATTCAGCAACATTCCAAGTTTTCCTCTGAGACTCATTGAATGCTTTTTTAGAAATGCAAACTACCAATTTCTTGGAAAAAAAAAAAAAAGGATTTTGTGTGCTTTGCTAGTGCCCTTCACACAAGCTTAATTCAGTGAGATAGTGTTCAGTAAAGTGCTTAGCAAACTCCCTGGCACAGAGGAGGCACTCATGCATTGCTAGCTATTATTATTTTTAATAATAGCAACATATGTTGGCAACTACATTTACTATGGTTTCCTTCCCTTTAAAAGGACGCTAAAGCTCCCCTTCTATGGATGCATTTTTACTAGTGTTTTACTATTTGGTATTGTTTGAACCTGGCTCTGCAGCAGTGGAAGTTGCCCTTAACTTTCCATGTAGGCTTCTGTCCTCAAATTCAGATTCCAATTCTCTGGTATGGTTTCCTACAGAGCTCTTTCTTTCCCACATTTCCCTGTTGCATCATGACATTTAATTAGTTATCATTCTTGCTTGCTTTTAATTAAAGAAACACTGTGCTCCTCTTGGAATCATTCACTGAATGCCATCTAAACTCTTGATATTTATTTAGAAACTTGCATTTTGTGGAGTTTTTGTAACATAAATATTTGATGATTAGAGTAATTCAAGGCCCTCTGTAAACAGAAGCTCATACCTCTTCTTTCCAAGTAGAAACCACACTGAAGGAACTGCAATAATGCAGAACTTCCTATCATCCATGATGATGCACCACCTTTCCAACTCCATTATCTAGAGCTGTGGTTCTCCATCAGAGGCAACTTTGTCTCTCAGGGGACATACACAATGTCTAGACACATTTTGATTTCCATGATTGGGAGGCAGAGGTAGGTAGAGGCCAGGGATGCTGCTAAACCTCCAAAAATGCACAGGAGAGTTTCTCACAACAAAATTCTCTGAACCAAAATGTCAATAGTGTTAGCGCTGAAGTTGAGAAACTCATGTCTGAATTGCTCCTTAACCCCATAATTAAATATGTCTGATTTTTGGGATTGTAAGCATGCTAAAAGAAAAAGCTGGCTGCGTGTGGTGGCTCATGCCTGTAATCCCAGCACTTTGGGAGGCTGAAGTGGGCAGATCGCTTGATCCCAGGAGTTCAAGACCAGTCTGGGAAACGTGGCAAGACCCTGTCTCTATTAAAATACAAAATATTAGCTAGGCCTGGTGGCATGCACCTGTGGTCCCAGCTACTTGGGAGGCTGAGGCGGGAGGATTTCCTGAGTCTGGGAGGCAGAGGTTGTGGTGAGCCAAGATCACGCCACTACATTCCAGCGTGGGCAATAGAGAGAGACTCTGTCTCAAAAAAAAAAAAAAAAAAGAGCTAAAAATTTAATTTAGATTTTAACAGGGTATACTAATAGCTTTCTAAAGCAAAGTGCTTTTTAGTATGTAAAATCAAATGTAAAATATGGTCCATTTATAATACAAATGATATCTTTTATACATATAAGGTATTTTATAGTATGCAAAAACAGTCACATATCACATTTAAACATCACTTCAATCACATTAAAGAACTATACCTGGCATCATAACCATTTTATAGAAAGAAAATTGTTTTTACGTATTGCATCCCTTGAAATGGCTTTTCAACTGTTGTAACACCTTAATTATTGAGGAGTCACCAACAAATCTGTCATGTGTCAAGTATTCTAGAAGGAAATAAAGGCAGGGTGTAGGCTACACATGTGTCTCTCACTGGTCATGAGTGAATGAGTGAACTTTCCCAGGAGGAAATGAAATTTCAGGGACTGACTTGCAAGTGGTAAATTATATGGTATGTGTCACAATTGTGCCACATGCCTGATTTATAAACATCCATAGTTTTGAAGGGCAAAGAATGAATTAGAAGTGATTTTCTTTCCTGAATTACCTTGTTTTATAGAAACTGGTACAGAAGGGGTGATGGTCATGAAAATTCCCAGCCTCTGATCTATTCTTTGTATGGCTTTTACTGTGCTGTGATCCATAGAGCATAACTTGAAAATTTAGTAAGAAAACATCAGGGAAATCAGATGCTGAGCTGTTGTTCAGGTCCCCTTGGCAAACTAAACATATATGAATATAAACGTGTCAAGTTCATTGGACACTCAAAGGGCTCCTTTGATTCTTGAAATGCCGTAAGGGCAGAAATCACTGAGAGAGAATCAGGCCAGAGACATGACTTCAGAAGAGTCTTTGCTGAATGTGAAATGAGTTCTTGTCTCATTCAGGACTGGCATTGAACACATTACTTTTTGAACCCTGGCTTGAAGAGGAGGCAGGCTTGGGATAAAATGTCAGTTTGACCACTTGCTAGTTATTGGAAATCGTTGAAGTTACAGAATGCTGCTGCTCCCTCACCTGCTAAGTAGAGATGATACTTCTTGGGGCAACAATGAAGATTAAAGGTGTGATGTAACAGGCTTAGCATGGAATCTGAAATCCTTCTCAAAGGGGCTGTGAAGTTCTGATTTATGGCCCTTCTTGCTGGTATGATCTCTTTTTGTGATACTTCTTCAGTGTACATATATATTCACTCTTCCCTGAGCCCAATGCCACTGTCCTCAATCAGACGCCTAACAAGTTTTACAAACCTCCTGTGAATGTAATCAAACCCTACCTCTACTTACAAGCCTTCAAAGACTCTCACTTTCCTAAAAGAGCATCTTCCTTCGCCTGCCCACTCAATGTTGGGGCTCCCTCTCTCTCTGTGTGTACTTTATTAAAGATAGTATACATCGATGTTCATAGCAGCCCATTCACAATAGCCAAAAGGTGGAGACAACCCAGATGTCCATCAACAAGTGAACGGATATACAAAATGTGGTATATTCATCCAATGGAGTATTGTTCAGCCTTGAATGAAATTGTACACATGCTACAGAATGGAAGAAACTTGGAAATATTATGCCAAGGGAAATAAGCCAGCCACAAAAAAACTAATATTGCAGGATTCCACTTGAAGGTGGTACTTAGAATAGGCAAATTCATAGAGATGGAAAGTGGTTACCAGGAGCTGAGATGTGGGGAAGGGGAAAGGGAGAGTTATTACTAATGGGTACAGAGTTCAGTTTGGGATAATGAATGTAAGAATTCTGGAGATAGATAGTGTGGATAGTTGTATAACTATGCAAATGTACTGTGCCACTGAACTGTATACTTAAAAATGGTTAAATAGTAAGTTTTATGTATATTGTTCCACAATAACTTTTTTATTTTCTAAGAAAAAAATTTTAAAATTATGCTTAAACTTAATTGTATTATTTATCATATACCAAATATTAAACTCATTTAAGTTCATTTAATGCTTAAATTAATTTAAAGATTTTTAAAACTCTTTGATGTCTGTGATATTGTCATTATCAATAAGGAAACTGAGGCCCTTAGAGGTTAAGTAAGCCCAAGGTCACACAGCCAGGAAGTAGCAGAGCTGAAATTGAAACCCAGGTATCAAGTTCCAAATTCTTAATCACCATGCTTGCTTCTGTACCTAGTTCCTGTGTATTGACAACTGCCATATTTTGAATCTCTAGCCCAGATCTAGAACAATGACGATAGTATTAATGCTTGATGAACATTATTTTGAGTCTCTTAAAAAAATTGGGAAGGAATTCCTATCATCCTGATTTAAAGACGAGAAATCTGAAGCATAGGGAGGTTAAATAACTTATTCAAGTTCATCCATCCATGGCAGAGCCAGCATGTAAACCCAAGGCAGTCGAATTTAAAGCCATATCCTTAATGTAACTGTCTCCAGTAGTCCACAAGTACCTTATCATAAGGTAAACATTTTTCCCCAACATTTTTAAGTTTCTGAACTGGGGATCCATCTTACAACGTATTCCTAGTTCAGTGTTTTCTCTGCACTTTAGTTTGATGAATGGTGTCTCTAGAACTCGGGAAATAAGGAATGTAGCAGATGCACAGGATCAGTTTGTTAAAATGTGATCTGCCTTACAATGACCAAAAACTAGCCCTTAGGCACAGATCTAAATGAAAGAATCAGGAACTCGGGTGAGTTGTGTGCAGGAAATAATTTTCTAGCAGCCCTCACTGAGACGCCCCTGAGGTCAGGAAACCTTGGCTATCCAAGAACAGACTTGGAGAATATGCGTATATGATTTTAGAAAGTTTAAGCCATTCTGGCGATCATTAAAAAGTCAGGGAACAACAGGTGCTGGAGAGGATGTGGAGAAATAGGAACACTTTTTACACTGTTGGTGGGACCGTAAACTAGTTCAACCATTGTGGAAGACAATGTGGCAATTCCTCAAGGATCTAGAACTAGAAATATCGTTTGACTCAGCCATCCCATTACTCGGTATATACCCAAAGGATTATAAATCATTGCTACTATAAAGATATATGCACAGGTATGTTTATTGCGGCACTATTCACAATAGCAAAGACTTGGAACCAACCCAAATGTCCATCAATGATAGACTGGATTAAGAAAATGTGGCACATATACACCATGGAATACTATGCAGCCATAAAAAAGGATGAGTTTGTGTCCTTTGTAGGGACATGGATGCAGCTGGAAACCATCATTCTGAGCACACTATCGCAAGGACAGAAAACCAAACACCACGTGTTCTCACTCATAGGTGGGAATTGAACAATGAGAACACTTGAACACAGGGTGGGGAACATCACACACTGGGGCCTGTCATGGGGTGGGGGAAGGGAGGAGGGATAGCATTAGGAGATATACCTAGTGTAAATGATGAGTTAACGAGTACAGCACACCAACATGGCACATGTATACATATGTAACAAACCTGCACGTTGTGCACATGTACCCTAGAGCTTAAAGTATAATTAAAAAAAGAAAGTTTAAGTCATTCTATTTACATTTTGGTTGTCCCTATTATAGCCACCTTTCTCTATGGCATGTGCTTCTTTCCCTTCTCAGGCGCAATCTCTGCCTCTATTATTAAGAGCTGAGACCCCCTGTGGCCCCTGGTTCTTTTCATGGGTAGCACCACCTTGCCTCAACTCACACTGTTGCTTATTTGCCAGTTCTACAGCTGCCCTCAACGACTGCAGAAAGTAGGACTGAACACCTTGGAGTTTAAACACAACAAAAGATCTAAATCCGTGACCCCCATAAAGATCCTAAGAGATGCTGTGGAATGCAAACTCCATCAGTGAATCAAATCTGTTGTGTTCTGAAAGTTATCTAACAACCATGAATCATTAGGCATCATAACCGAGAGATGGACCAATTTTCCTGCTGTAAAACCAGCTTTTCATAAAAATAGGCATTCTTGATGCCATGGGCAGAATTAAATGACCTGAATGCAACTATGCAACAAAAGAAAGAATGGCTAAGACTTTTTACCACTGATTTTTCTTTCTTGGAGAATATCTTGCATGTTCCCAAATTTAGATCTGGAGAATGTACTTGTAATAATAATTAGACATTACCATGACAACGGCAATGTTTAAAAATTGCTAGTAGCAAAAGAAGTCACTTCACAAGGAAAGATTTTTGTTGAGAAAATAGATGTAATTTTTCAAGGTATACAAAAATATATGTGGTTACCTTAAAATATCCTAAAACCTTTCCAATTATTACTGATAATGTAAATCAAAAATGAAGTAGAAGCAGGGGTGGTGGCTCACACCTGTAATCCCAGCACTTTGGGAGGCTGAGGTGGGCGAATTGCTTGAGGTCAGGAATTTGAGACCAGCCTGGCCAACATGGTGAAACCCCATCTCTACTAAAAACACAAAATTCGTCAGGCATGGTGATGCACGCCTGTAATCCCAGCTACTCAGGAGGCAGAGGCATGAGAACTGCTTAGACTCAAGAGGTGGAGGTTGCAGTGAGCCAAGATCTCACCATTGCACTCCAACCTGGGTGACAAAGCGAGACTCTATCTCAAAATAAAAGATTAAAAAAGAAAAAAAGCAGTAGAAATTTCAATGTGATGGAGCAACAACAAATTTACAGGTTGACCTGACTGATATGTGACTCTGTTTTTGCATACTATAAAATACCTTCTATGTATAAAAGATATCATTTGTATTGTAAATGGACCATGTTTTATATTTGATTTTACAAACTAAAAAGCACTTTGCTTTAGAAAACTATTGGTATACCCTGTTAAAATCTAAATTAAGGTTTTAGGTGGTTTTTTTTTGTTTTTTTTTTTTTTCTTTGAGACAGAGTCTCTCTCTATTGCCCATGCTAGAGTGTAGTAGCGTGATCTGGGCTCACCACAACCTCTGCCTCCCAGACTCAGGAAATCCTCCCGCCTCAGCCTCCCAAGTAGCTGGGACCATGGGTGCATGCCACCAGGCCTAGATAATGTTTTCTATTTTTAATAGAGACAGGGTTTTGCCACGTTTCCCAGACTGGTCTTGAACTCCTGGGATCAAGCGATCTGCCCACTTCAGCCTCCCAAAGTGCTGGGATTACAGGCATGAGCCACCACACGCAGCCAGCTTTTTCTTTTAGCATGCTTACAATCCCAAAAATCAGACATATTTAATTATGGGGTTAAGGAGCAATTCAGACATGAGTTTCTCAACTTCAGCGCTAACACTATTGACATTTTGGTTCAGAGAATTTTGTTGTGAGAAACTCTCCTGTGCATTTTTGGAGGTTTAGCAGCATCCCTGGCCTCTACCTACCTCTGCCTCCCAATCATGGAAATCAAAATGTGTCTAGACATTGTGTATGTCCCCTGAGAGACAAAGTTGCCTCTGATGGAGAACCACAGCTCTAGATAATGGAGTTGGAAAGGCTGGTGCATCATCATGGATGATAGGAAGTTCTGCATTATTGCAGTTCCTTCAGTGTGGTTTCTACTTTATAGGGTGAACACACTTTTATCCTTCTCCTTGACAAATCTGAAAAATTAAATTGAGAGTTCTGTAAAGTGGCACTAAATTACGTGGTTTACTGCTGAGGCTTCTAGAGGATTAGCCATACTTGACTAAATTAGCATTTGGGATTATGTCAGCATGGGAACTCAGAAAGTAAAAGCCAGTGAAGTGGGGCTTTGATTTCTGTGTTCTAAGTGCTTTTTAATTTTGATGTAAAAAAAGACAGATGGCTAACATTGTCCACATTTAACTCAACATCACACACACATACACACACACACACACTCTCTCTCTCTCTCTCTCAAGTTCCCAAGTTTCTATGCTCATTTTCTAGGTGAGACAGCAAAAATTCAGAGCAAATAAGCCCACCAGACAGCAATTTCTTTTTTTTTTCTTTTGGAAACAAAAAACCTCACCAACTTCTCAACCTCTAGGGAGAACTTTATCCAAGTTATTTGCTGTGTCTACCTATTAAATGATACCAAGATCTTTGGAGATTATCTGTTTCAGAGATATGTAAAATATATGTGTCATGCCTAGCATTTTGATTACATCTTTCCCTTAAAGGCCACTGAAGACTCTGTAGTTTAGTTAAGCCTTCAAATTTAAAGTGATCAACAAAAGCATAGATTAAGTGACTCATCTAAGGTGATGTAGATGGAAAATGAAAGACTGGGAAGTGAATACCAAGGGGATTTTAAAGTTCCTTTTCCTGAGTTATTTTTATCCCTAAGTTCTATCTTCTGTCCTTTTTATTTCCTCATTCTGCTCCCCTTAGCTTATTTTGTCCATACAGTGTTTGGCTCAAAATAGATGCTCAAAAAATATTTATCACTCAATGAAAGAAAACCCCAAACCACAGATACCACGGACAATAAATCAATTTCCTATTGGAGATATTATTTGCCTTAGAAGACATTGTAGCTATTTAAAAGCAAAAGTGCTGATTGGCATCACTTTAAATTCATGGCTAGAGATCTCAAATACATGTTCAACCAGTGCCTGGCAATTCCACTGCTCAGGACTTCCAATTCCCTAGTTTCTCCAAAACAGTTCAAAAATGAACATTAGAAATTTCACAGAAATCTTTGGTGGACAAATACTAAAATAAAACAAAATTTGGCCCACTACAGCATTTAAAACATCTGCTTGTGATGGAGCATATCCACAAACAGTGGGATATGTAAAAGCCAGTCAAAAATCTCCACTGAAGTTTCAAAATGAACAGCTCCTACGCCCCCACACACTGCCATTTGAAAAAATAGATGTCATACCTTCTTTTCTTTTCAGATATTCCATGAGCATAAACATAGACAAAACAGAATCTCATTACACTTGTTACTCTCTGCCTTCTCCATTCAATCTCATGTCAAGGAAATGGAAAAGAGACTCAGGTAAGTATACTTCCTAATATCCTTGTTAGAGGAGTTCACTGCCATGGCAACCTCATGCACCACATGTCACATGGGAACACTTGCAAAATCTCAGAAGTTCCGCACGTTGCTATAATCAGAGATCTGGGCACTTTGGATACTCTGTTTCTGACAATTGTCAGAGCTTGAAACCAAAGTAATGGCCTTCCAGCTTGCCTGAGTATACTTTCCTGAGAAAGCTTAATGGGATTCATGCTATACAGTCAGATTCATACAGTATTTTCACTTTCATGGCAGCTTTGATAGAGGTCCAAATGAGTACATCCAATGACAAAGGAACAGATACATAAATACATCTCACTTTTGCTCCTCTGCCTTGCAGTACTTCAACTATTGCAGTCACCCATTATGTCAGTTTCCTACCTCCATCTTACTTTCTCAACCATCTTTTCCTTCGAATAGAGTGTGAGCACTGCAGTTGGAGTGATATTTTTAAAATGTGAATTTGACTGTGTCATCTCTCTGCTTAAGATTCTCCAGGATCATTCCACTCTCTGGAACTCCCTGGCCCCTGCTTCCCTCTCCACCTCCTGCTTGAGCCACTGTCCCAGTATGTTCTAGCCTCCAGTTATCCCAAGCTCTTCCCTGTCCTAGAGTCTTCATGTGAGCAGCCTCCCAGCCTAAGAAATTTCACCCCTGACTCATTCTGCATCTGTCTCCATTCAAACTGTGCCTCTGTGGACACGTCTTCCTTGAGGACTTTATCTACATAGGTCTCTGCTTTCATTCTTCATTGATGTACCCCAATTACTTTTTTCATAGCAACTGTCTCAGTTTTCCTAAATACTTACTTAGGAATAGTTGTATTGACTTATATATTTCATCTTCTCTCCACTCAAAGACTGTAAGTCTGTGTTTATTTCATCTCCCACTGTAGAACAAGTGTGTAACTGTGCCTGACATGTAGTAAGCACAATAGATGTTGGCTAAATGAATGAATGTATATCATCATAGAAAGAGGTAACAGCATTAAAGGGACACATTTGCCTCAGAAGAGTCCAAATTTAAGCTTTCTGCCCAACAATTATATATACCCAATTAGCCCTCTTTATCTTTTTCTGCTCTGCCCTCTTGCCACCTTAACAAATTTGGTATTTATAGGAACTCAGGGATTTTCAACATGGTAAGACCCAGGGAAACCCCAAATCAGTCCAGTGCTTGTTTCATGCCCAGATTTTTGACCCCTGCATATTTTAAGAAAAAACTAACTTTGATTAATTTACAGTTAGTGAAACTATTTCATCTAATTGCGTCATTTTTTTTTTTTTTTTTGTAAATCAAAACCTTCTTTCACTGACACAGGAAGTCATATTTTGTCAAAACTAGATGAACATGAACCCAGAGAGACTTAAATTCTATTGTAACCTCAAAAACCACAAAAATGGAAGGAATTTGGGAATTCAAATGTGTCCCTGTGCCTTGTCTATAGGGTCTAACATTTTGTTCATCTTGTGAAGATTTGTGTGTTTCCAGTTTCACCCCTGCCACAGTTCTTGGTACAGGCACGTGATACAATGGGGAGATTCCCACTTTAGAAGGCAGTTTTCACAGTAACTGCCTTTAGCCTTTGAGTTTCTAATGTAACCTTTGAAAACAGCTGGTCCAAATTCCATCTTGTCCCAGACCCACACAGACCTCCTCTGCATTATGTTCAATTCGAGGACAAAGGAAGTTCAGGGAGGAACACTGAGCAAGATGTGATTTGGCCAAGTAATTACAGCCACTTTGCAAGCAGCCACCCGGAATGCAGATTTTATTAGCTTTTGTTTTACTTATTTTTAGAAAAGCCTTTTAAATGACTGACAGATCTATATACATTTATGCTTTTTTTTTTTCAAAGCTGAGAGGGAAGGCTTAACCCTCCTGCATACTGTTTGACCCATGAAAATAAACCCTTGACCTTTATGAATGATACCTCCTCATGACCAATTAATCTCCATACACGAAGACCACTACAGTCCTTAATTCTCCCCAATAAAGTATAACCTTTAATTAAATAATTTACCTGACAACTTCTAACTTTGAATGAGAATTGTATACAAGCAATATAATGTAAGAGAAAAGAAATCTATCTCTAAATTTGGAGTCAGACAACCTTAAGTTTAGATCTTAGCTCTTTCAGCAGTAAATTATTGACCTCAGTTTTCTCATCTGAAAAGCAGAGCTAAGGAATAGAAAAGTACACTTCAGAGTTACTTTGAGGCTCAAATATTTTAAGGCAGGTAAAATACTTAGTAGAGTGCCTGGCACAGTCCCACATTTGAAAGCTATGAGAAAGAGGTATTTCCATGCACTCCTAGTAGGAATACAAATTGGTATAACCACTTTGGGAAATGGTACAAAATATTGAATTTTAAAGCTTGTGTATTTCAAGACCTAGCAAGTCCGCTTCTGTTTTTACTATTTATACCAGAGAAACACTTGCACCCAAGGAGACATGTACAAAATACTCAGAGCAATGTGTTTTGTAATAGTGAGAGACTGGAAACAGCCAAAGAGTTCTTTAATTTTAAGGAGGAGAGACTAATTCTTGTAAGAAATGCCCCTACATATTTGAACAGGTTAACAATTTGAGGTGGAGGTTTACGGGTAACCTTCATTGTGGTGATTCAGTGACCCAGCTTTCTGTGACTCTGCTGTCCCTAGGACCTTGGAAACTTCTGCTAGATCCTTTGCATCTAGTTAGCACATGGAGGATGAGAAAGGATGTGGAAAATTTCATGAAGCGTCAACAGATTGGACCTGGGAGTGCCATATATCACTTCTCTCCACAGTCCATTGGCTAGAACACACTAATTTAGTCATAGTTAATCATGATGTAGTCTAGATGCAGGTTCAGAAATGTAGGGAACCAGGGCTTTGATGAACAACATCTCAGTTCTGACACAAATACAAGATTAAAATAATGAGATAGGTCTATGTTTACTAGCAAATGGGGCTTCCAGGACATATTCTGTGAAAAACTAAGCAAGCGACATGTCATCGGGTGGTTTCCTGGGAAGCAGACTATGAGATGGAAGTTACTGTTCTGGAAGTTTATTAGGAAACTTCTTCGCATCAGCATCTAAGGAAGCAGGATTGGGCGAAGACAGAAGTTGAGCTATGATGTGGATTCCACAGCAGCCTCAGCCACCCCACAGGCAGCTCTGAGGCTAGGAAGATCTTTCTGAGTTGCCCCAGTCTGTGCCAATATGGCAAGACATTTGTAGTCTTACAATGAGCTTGCATGGGAACTAGTACCTTGGTACCAAATGGAACTGGATCAGACACTGACCATTGCCTGTCTCGGCAGGGGTGAGCCTGAGGGTGAGGGGGCTGTTGCAGTAGAGGTGGTTCAGGAAGGGGCTGAGAGATGCAGACAGTCTGCTGAAAGTGCTCCCTGATGAGGCAATGAGTCCTTCATTGAAGGGGGATTTGGGCAATGCATAACAGTGTCACCCCACATAGCTAAACTATATAGGTAGGCTATTATTACTGTAAAAACAAAAAACATGCTTATTTTCTCTGACTAAATTTCTATGTAAATTCATAGAAAAAACTTGGATGAAAAGCTGGACATTTTGTATAATAATAAGTACATATCAGAGAGATGTGGCTCCTTTTGAGTAAGGAGGCAGGTCTGAGAGATTGAGGGTAAATGTCAAAAGAAACTTCAACTGTATCTGTAACTTTTAATATTATTGAACAAATAAAATGAATTGCTATTTTGCTTACCTATATGAATTTAATAAGACTATTATTTGAGGTGGGTTTATTGTACCAGTATGTATAAGAATATTAACCCAGACAATATTCTACATGTGGCAGGACCTTCCATTGCAGAAGCATCACATAAAAATAGCTTTTATTTATTCAAAGATTGATCGACTTTCCTTCTTTCTTCTTCCTCCCACAGCTTTTTGGCCAATTCACTGCTCACTAACATCTCCATCAAAGGGTGACTGTGTTGGGGCGCCGGGTGTGGGGAGGAGAGGAAGGAAACGAGAATCGGCAGTTTCCATTACTTGCTAGCAACTCTGGTAAATAGGTTTAGTAGGGGGAAATGTTGAAAATCAGTTATTCAGATTATCTGAGCCTGTCAACCATGATGTTACACCCTCCTTCCATTAGCATAGACTCAGGAGAATTGGCCCTAATTGCATTTGCAGTGATAGTGACTGAAACAAGATTGTTTAATGATTATGTGTCTCCTTAAACTGATTTTTTTTCTTTCAAATGGCACATCCCAACAGAATACTTTGAGGAAAAAGGCATTTTCTATTTTATTCTCACCTATTAAGCATCTACAAATCTTTCAGGATAATTGATAGTCTAGATAGACCAAAGACAACTTCTTTGAATTTGAAAAAAAAATATTTTATCTTTTATTTTGGTCTGGCAATAGAATAGTTTATTTGGGATATACAGGTAGCAATAAAAAACATAGTATGATCAATAAGAGACATTCAAATATTTGAATGTCACTCAATAATTGAATAAATATCTGTTGAGTTTAGAGGATTTAAGAGCAGAGTTATAATACTGGCACTTAAAAAACTTCTAGGTATCAACTGTAAAAACACTGAGTTTTAACCGAACAATTCCAGCTAATTCAATTTGAATTGTTTTTTTCCTGGAATTAAAATGCTGTGTTACAAAGAAGCTTGGACAAAATTCGAAAGACTAGCATTCTCATTCAGATCACCATTTTACTTAGTGATTTTGAGACAATTTCAGATTCTGACTCAGTTTGTTCAGTTATAGATGGTTGTATGAGGAAAAAACCTACATTTAATGTTTTACACATATTTGTGTATTTATAACTTTTACCCCAACACTGATATTAACGAGCTATAGCATAGAAGGCTTTCATTGGTAACAAATGGAACTGGATCTTGCCCCAATCACATACTGGTTATTTGATGTTAGTAAAACTAAGTGGCCTCTCCAAGATTCTACTTCCTTATTTGTAGCATGAGGTCGCATATAATTCATGTATCACTGGATTGTTGTGAAGGTGAAAATGATAAAGTACATAGCATCATGCCTGAGACATAGCAATCCCGTAATGAAAGGGAGTTATCCTCAAATCTTAGCTATCCCACTAACAAGACACACTCTGTTTTTCTCCTTTTCTCAGGAAAAACACACATTGTAAAATAAGAATCTTTCAAAGACAACTTGAGGACATCTGGGAATTCTGAAGCCTGAAAATTCCATGAGTTCATAGCAGTATTCACTAATTCCACTGATCTAAAGACAAAAAGGAGGGTCAACTGCATGCCCAAACTCATTTCTGATGATTTCTTCCATCCTACCTTTTCTGCCTCTCTGGAGGTGGTTATGCCTGTGAAAAACATCGAAGCTGTCAGGAACACAGTCGGCTTTCAAGACTGGAATGTCAAAGTAGAGTCTTCTTTTCCTCAGACCAGAAGAGTTTCCAGATCTAAACAAAGACAGGACTGGGATATAGGAGGTTGTACACATAAACAGCACAAACACCTTGGGTAAGTGATACACCAAGAGAGACCAAAACAGGGCAGGAACACAATCCTAAAGCTACATGAGATAAGAAGCCAAGAGACCCTGTCTACAGGCTGATCTGTGTTGCAACCAGAGGCCAGCTACACTCAAGAAAATTCTAAATGATGTAATTGGTCATGGGCACTTTCTCATAAAAACGATCGATATTTTTTTCTTACAGGGATAAAGCTTGAAAGCATGGGATGTAGCTCCATTAGGAAATATGAAGTGAGCTGGTATATTCCAGGTAGGTTAGACTGAGATCATTACAAAATTGGGCTGATTTTACATGGAGAAAAACCTGATTCCTAAGGGTGTTGAAGGACAAGATGGGGACAGTTATTAAGGTGTCCAGGTGCTGTCCTTTGTAGCCTGTAGCCTATTAATACACAACTGAACACAGACCCAAGAAAAGGGGTTCTACTCATTGCTAGAATGTAAACTCTAAGAAGATAAGGATTTTGTCTCTTCATTTACTACTGTATTCCCAGCTCCTAGAAGAGTGTCCAGCACTTAGTATCTGTTGGTAAGTGACTGTTGAATTAATCAACCAGTGGTGAGACTTTGGAAAGCAGCTAGTCCATCTGTAAGACTGTTTTCTCATCTGTGAGATGAGTCGGTTAGATTAGATGTTTTCTAAGCTTATTCTAGTTTTAAAAATTGTATGTTTCTATCAGAAATGATAAATGAAAATGTCCATTCCTTTTTCATCTCCATCACCCATCTCACATCTTCTTTCAGTGCCTATGTGGTCTGTTTGAGTACAACCAACCAGGTGTAGGAAAGTACTAACTGATATGAGATGACTTCAGTAGTCCAGGGACTCTCCCTCCCCCCACCCCGTAAAGAGTCATTTGCTTAGTTTAATGTATATTATAAAAACAGAATGAGTTTCTCAATTCCATTTATAGTCATATTATAGTTTATTATTCACATAAATTTAAGGTACAAGGAAGTCAACTTAAAGAAAATATTTTAAGTAAATTACAATGCAAGTTCTACACAGATGTAGCACAAACCACAATGGTAGGACACAAACAATTGCTATTTGAGAAATAGGCCTTTTCATCAGTACTTATGGCATGTATCTTAAAACCCGACTTTCACTAGTACTCTCAAAGGGACTAAGTCACAATTCAAGTGACCATACCATTTAGCTGAGGGCCCTTTATTCCTGTTTATGGTAAAATAATTGCCTTACTTGAACTTTTAAAAAATATACTTTTTCTGCTTCTGACCATAATGGGCTAACTGCCATTAAAGAGACCATCTATCAGAAACAATTAGAAAACTGGATGGAATATACGAAGTCACTGTTTTTGGACAATAGGCAGCACAAAACTATGATCCCTGAGAAAAAGGAAGGAAATGAGGTGATGCCTACAATTGCCCTGATTTTTTGCCTAGAGATACTGTCCGAACTGCTACTCTGGAAAGGAAAACCCAGGTGAAACATGGGGCCTCACCGAGTAGAGGAGACAGGGATCAACATTGGGAAAGCTGAAATGACTGGAATTTGTAGGGCAGAGTATGGGGAAGGAAGGAGCTATGTAGGGAAAGAGCTCAAGAAATACGCACAAAGGGCGGGTGCAGTGGCTCACATCTGTAATCCCAGTACTTTGGGAGGCCGAAGTGGGCAGATCACACATCAGGAGCTCGAGACCAGCCTGACCAACATGGTGAAACCCTTTTTCCATTAACAATACAAAAATTAGCTGGGCACGGTGGTGCATGCCTATAATCCTAGCTACTCAGGAGGCTGAGGCAGGAGAATCGCTTGAACCCAGGAGGCGGAGGTTGCAGTGAGCCAAGACTGTGCCACTACACTCCAACCTGAGAGAGTGAAACTCCATCTCAAAAATAAATAAATAAATAAATTAGCCAGGCATGGTGGCAGGCGCCTATAATCCCAGGTACTCGGAGGCTGAGGCACAAGAATCGCTTGAACCCAGGAGGCAGAAGTCACAGTGAGTGAAGATCGTACCACTGCATTTCCAGCCTGAGCGACAAAGTGAGACTCTGTCTCAAAAATAAAAATAAAAACAAAATATGCACAAGGATGTTCTTGAGTTTTTGGCTGATTATGAAACTATATAGTGTAAGACACCACAAGTGAAAGAACAGCTACTTGGAAAGACAATTATTGACGAACTATAAACTGAAAAACTACCAGAGCTCCTCCTGAACTGAAATGTATTCAAGTTCCAGCCAAAGTCGAGACACACCATTGAATTTATGTGTCATTTAGTAGAGACCCCAAAATATTCATGCCTCAGTAGTAATGCAAAATTGTCCCTACAATAAAACCTAGAGTAGCTCCCCCTTATCCACAGTCTAACTTCCTGCAGCTTCAGTTACCCACAGTCAACTTCAGTCCAAAAATTTTCAATGGAAAATCTCAGAAATAAGCAATTCATAATTTTTTTTGTCTTTTTTTAAAAAATTTATTTATTATTATTATACTTTAAGTTCTAGGGTATATGTGCATAACGTGCAGGTTTGTTACATATGTATACTTGTGCCATGTTGGTGTGCTGCACCCATCACCTCGTCATTTAATTTTAAATTGTACACTGTTCTGAGTAGCATAATGAAATTTCAAGCCATCCCACTCTGTCCCACCCAGAACACGAATCATCCCTCTGTCCAGTATATGCTACCCTCCCATTGGTCACTTAGGTTATCAGAATGACTGAGGCAGTATTGCAGTGCTTATACACAGGTAACCCTTTTTTCGTTTAATAACAACCCCCACATGCAAGAATAGCAATGCTGGAAATTTGGATAAGCCAAAGAGAAGCCACAAAGTACTTCCTTTAAATAAAAATGTGAAAGTTCTTGACTTAAGGAAAAAAAAAGTCATATGCTGAGGTGGCTGAGATCTACAGTAAGAACACATCTTCTATCCGTGGAATTTTGAAGAAGGAAAAAGATATTTGCTAGTTTTGCTGTCCCACCTCAAACTGCAAAAGTTACCACCACGGTTCAGGCAAAGTGCTTAGTTAAGACAGAAAAGAGTTACATTTGTGGGTGCAAGACATGAACAGAGAGGCATTCCAATCAATAGTAATCAGGTGTGGGGAGGTACTGTCCTCAGTTTCAGGCATCCATAGGGGTCTTGGAAAGTATTCCCCACAGATAAGGGGGCGGGGGGGCTACTGTACTCCATACTCGTTCTAATAAAACTTTTTAGAAATCTCAAAAAGATTAAGCTAATCTACATGAAATTTAAATGCTTACTAGAACAAAGCACAGTGCTCTTTAAAGGAGCAAAACTAAATCCAGACAATACTGTAACACAATGTTCAGCAACATCCAATAAAAAAATTACTAGACACACAAGAAATTAAGAGAAAATCTCCTTTCCATAACCGGGAGAAAAATGCATCAACAGAAAGAGACCCAGAAGTGAGAGAGATGATGAAATTAGTGGACAAGGACCTTAAAACAGCTATCAGCAGTTCCAAGTATGTGTATAAAAACATAAATGCAATGAGAGGAATGGGTACTGTAAAAAAAGAACCTAGTGAAACTTCCAAAGCAGAAAAATATAATATCTGAAGTAAAAAAATTCACGAGATAGTTGCAGTAACCATTTGATATTGTGGAAGATAAAGGTCAGTAAGCTTGAATAGAACAGAGAGGAAAGTGTGGTCTTTTCAACCATTAGTGCTGTAACAATCAGACTGTATTGAAAAAGACTAACTTTTGTTCCTACCCCTTACCACAGGCAAAAAGTAAACTAGACACAGATCGTGGAACTAAATGTAAAACCTAAAATAATAAAATTTTATGACCTAGCCATAATGGATTTCTTAGACCATAAAAGTACTAACCAAAAAAGACCAAATTGATAAGACTTCCTCAAAAGCAAAAACTTTTGCTACTGACAAACCATCATTAAAAAATAAGATGTCAAGTCAAAGATTGAAAGAAAATATTCACAATGCACATCATAGAGTTGTATCTGGACTATAAGAATAATTTTTATAACTCAATAAAAAGACAACCAAATTTTTAAGAGGAGCAAAAGATTTGAGATTTGAACATATACTTCACAGAAGAATATAAGGGTCAGTAAACACTGAAAGATACTCAACATCATAGTCACCATAGAAACACAATTTTAAACCACAATGAGATACCACTACACACCCACTAAAATAGATAAAATGAAAAAGACAGATATTAACAAGATTTGGAGAGGATTTAGGAGTACTGGAAATGTCATACATGGGTAGGGAGAGTGTAAAATGGTATAAACATCTTAGAACACAATTTGGTAGTTTCTTATAAAGTTACAGATATGCTTATCATATAACTAATCAACCCCCTTTCTAGGTATTAGTCCAAGAAAAATAAAAACATATGTCTGCTACACAGACTGCTTGTCTACTTATGTATGAACACTTGTTGAACACAATATGAATGAATCTCAAAAATATTTTGCTGGGAAGTGCCTAATCCCCAAAAAGTACACATCACATGACTCAATTTGCTTGAAGATAAAACAGGTAAGTCTAGTCTTTATTGATAGAAAGTATAATGGCAGTTGGGGTTAGGGTGGGAGGTTGCCTGGGCAGAAACAGAAGATATTATTTTAGTGAATTGGGAATTTTATGTGTCTTGATTTTTGTGATCATTACACATATGTATGCACATATCAAAACTTAAACTGGACACTTAAAATAGGTACACTGATTTTTTTCCCACGTAAATTATACTTCAATAAGGTCAATAATGTGTGCATATTTATACTCTCCTAGGGAAAAGATACTACAGGCTTCCCACCCACACATCTTTCATGTCACACATCTTTTCAATTTTTCTTTTCAGATTTGTGTTGTGCTGTCTTTCCTTTCCTACTCCTAGTTTCAGCCCCACCACCACCACCATGCTTCATGACCAGCTCAGACAAACATAATTAGTTACAGTTGTCATGATAGTGAATAACTTCAGTGGTACAAAACGAAAACTGCACAGACTGTTCCCAATTAGGTGGCAAACCTGTGAAAAGTTTGTAGCATATGAATTGAGATCTATGAATCTATAATCTTCTAGCTCGCATTAATGCCATGATGATCCATTAATTTTTGCTTACACAGATCTCTAACAACTCTATTTTTTTCTTCTGAATAAAAACTGAGAATGTTATTCCAGGTCTATGCATCCGAATGTTATGGGTGCATGGGTGAAGGAAGGCAGAAAGAAACTTGGAATAAGATTCAACAGCTGTAGTCATGCTTTCATTATTTGAAAGCCTTTTTGGACCAAAGATAATACACTGTGGGTTTTTGTTGCCAAAAACGTCAGATTTTTGGTTTCAGCTCATGATCCAGAAGCTGAAAGTGTGTCAACTTGGTGATAGTATCCAAGAATAATTCAGTTCTATAGTCTTTGTAGAATGATGGGCAAAATGAATGTCAGCAACATTAAGCAGCCAGAAACTGAAGGTATGTTGTGAGCTAGCAGCAAGGAATAAGAGAATCTTAACAGATGTAATTTATAGCATTACTGTTGATGAAGTTAGTAACCTTTAGCAAGGAGACATAGAATCAATAGCAGCCTGACATTTTACAGCTGCAGAAATTTATGTGGGAACTGACCAGGAAGTAAGGTGCAAGAGGAGTTGGCAGAATATTTAAACCAGATGAAAAAATTTCAGGTTAATTATAAAGTGTCCAAAATGTGGAATTAGAATGATTTCTTCAATTTTCTACAAAAATGGACCAAAGTTTATGAAAAGCATCCCGAATGTAGAGAATTATACATTCATAAATGCACAGAAAGAACATTTGGGTGTTTAAACTGTGGCACTGAAAGTGCAGAATGAGAAGATACTTTTCAGAAATTCAGTGCATGCACTTACACTTATCAGTGCACCCTCTCTTTCTCTGCTTAGATTTTATGGTATTATTGAGATGCTTATAATACAGCCTACTCAATTGGACAATGGTATATCGTTATACATAGTTAATCAACAGACTAGATAAGTGATAAGGCCTCAGAGAAGAAGAATATTAGAGCTCAACTCCAGCACAATGAGTCGTTAACACCCTTGGGAATGTATAGCTGTTAAACAAAACAAGGAGACCATATTGCCCTGTGAATTCAATGGGATCTAATGGGAATTTCAGAGTAATTGTATTTTAAGATGTGTAGGAAGCCTAATCATTTAAAGTGCTTTTTCTATTCCGAAGCAATTCATCCCACCACATCTTTTCGTTTAGTACTGATCAGTTTGCTTAAAGGATTAGGAGGTGAAAGGATGCACTCCAAGAAGAGTGATCCTTCTTAACATTTTGCATTTAAAACTCCTTTCACAGCCTCCTACAAATCTGTATTAGCTCTCCTGTCACAATTTAATGTATATCTTTTGGCTTCAGAAAATTTGGGGGTGTTTAGGATGTTTATGTTTTACACTAGTAAAACCTATCTAAAAACAAGCAAAGGGCTCACCAAAAATAGAAGGTACCATCAAAGTGACAAAACAATCAGGTAATTGTGGGCAACTTAGATGCTCAAGTCAGCAGGAGACAGGTTTATATCCTCAAACCTTGCATACTGCTATTCAAAATATTCATTTAAAAAGTGATAGTAAATAAATCTAACTTTTTATAACTTTCTGCTGTTTATTCCCTCAAGAGTGTATCAACTTGAAGTCAGTGATTAATTTTGGTCTAAATGCAATTGGACCTGCCTGTAAAAGTAACAGTAGTATTTCACAGAAGTCTTTCTCACTTTTCACTGTCATATTCAGAAACTGCAAATAGAACATTGTATTAAAACTAAATGAAACTAAAAATGACTTTTATGAAAGAGGATAACATTTTTAGCAGTGACTTTTTTGACTTGGGAAGACTAGGAGTTTGAATACTGTGCTGTGCACACTCGCTCTTTCCATGACACCAACTCTTGTTAACTGCCTACATTTGTCTCAATAATAATAGCAACCACAACTACAACTAACATTTATTTGTTGTTGTCAATGTTGACATGGATATGGAGAAAAAGTCACACATATACATTGCTGGTGGGAATGTAAATTAGTTCAACCTCTATGGAAAACAGTATGGAGATTTCTCAAAGAACTAAAAATAGAACTACCATTTGATGCAGCAATCCCACTGCTGAGTATCTACCCAAAGGTAAATAAATTATATCAAAAAGACACCTGTACTGGTATGTTCATCACAGCATTATTCATAATAGCAAACAACCTATGTGCTCATCAATGGTTGACTAAAGAAAATAGGGTGTATGTGTATGTATGTGTGTATATATGTATATATACACACACACACATCCTATTTTATATTTTATATATATACATATATATATAGAGAGAGAGAGAGAAAGGAGGGGAGGGAGAGAGAGAGAGAATACTATTCAACCATAAAAAAGAATGAAATCATGCTCTTTGCAGCAACATAGATGGTGCTGGAGGCCATTATCCTAACTGAACTAACTCAGAAACAGAAAACCAAATACCACATGTTCTCACTTATAAATAGGAGCTAAACAATGGGTACATATGGACATAAAGATGGAAATAATAAACACTGGAGACTCCAAAAGTGAGAAGAGTTAGGGGTGAGGGTTGAAAAATTACCTACCAGGTACAATATTCACTATTTGGGTAATGGATACACCAGAAGCCCAATCCCCAACAATATGCAATATACTCATGTAACAAAGAAGCACATGTACCCTCTGCATCCAAAATGTGAAAAAAAAAAGGAAGAAAATCTACTGTTGTCTCTGTTCAAATCACTATTCTAAGTCCTTTATGTGTAACCCACTGAATTCTCTGAATAATCTTACTCATTGGTTATTTCTATTTTGCAATTGAAGAAACCAAAGCACAAAGAATAACTTGTCCAAGATCACAGAGTTTAGGAAGTAATGAAGCAGGGCTTTGAGTTTTGCATAAAGTGATACCCCATAGATGCAAAGGGAATACAATAGGAGTGGGTCCATGAAGTCCCACCCAGAGAATGCCCTTCTGCCAAAAAATTTCAGATTGAAACAGCAAAAACCTAAGCAACTGATAGGTAGGGTCAGTATGTTTCAATGTCCAACTATAGAACTGAAAAGATCTTTTCTATGGTTAGTCTACATGAATTTCTGTTAAAGAAGGAACAAATGCCAAATGTAGGGCAGTGTACTGTTTGACAGAAAAGAAGGAAATTTCAGAATTGTTTTCTGGCAGTATCACTTATTGCTTACTGTTCTCCACCAAAAAGCAACTTTTAAAAATCACCAACAATGTAAGACTGTGGCTTGCTAAAGAAGACAGATTTTCTGGTCTATTATTCTGGAGTGGGGGCAGAGTGGATGTTTGCTTAGCAGGAAGAGAGCTCAGTAATTTACATGTGGCATGACATGGTAGATAAGGTTAGGAATTATGTCTCCTTTTTTTTTTTTTTTTTTTTTTTTTTAACAGATTTGGAACCTAGGCTCAAAATGTGCTAAAGGTCACATAGCTACTAGGTGCTAAAGTGATAATTCAAATCCCTGGTTTATCTGACTACAAAGCTCTTGCTCCTGCCATGATCCTACCTTTGCAATCCCACCAAAGAAGTACTAAATACAAATAACGACAGATACCATTGTCCAAAATGAGTTTCGATTGTCAGTTTATCTGTTGACGTCGACTTTTTGGCTCTGAAAAAGAAAATTATTGGTTAGTGTTTCACCCTATTTCAACCTCTCTTTCAGCTTGCACATGAGATGATTCCCTTAAAATTTTAATGCTTTCAAACAAACCAAATCTAGAGATATTAGATTAGCTACATTTTCCAAACAAACAAGGTGTAGGAAGGGTGGGAAAATAACCTGACCTTGTTCTTGAGATCAGAAATGCTTAAAGGCATGTGTAAAAAGCCCGAGGGAGAAATATTCAGTATTTTTCACGAGTTCAGCTCAGGCTGCATTGCCTAATCATTGTCTTATCACCAAATATTACATATTTACACAGGTGGTTCTCTGATTTAATTGTTTGAAAGCAGTCACTGGAAGCAAAGCTATGTGACTCAGCTTCGGTGATGCACTCCAGCTGGAGTCTGACAGGTAAATAATTACCACTAATCAAAGCCTAGATGAATTCAGGTCTTCAAAGTCAGATGGGGATGAAGGGGACAGGGGTTATTAATGAACTGTTAGGAATATCAGGAGAAATAAGAGCTGGACAGTCTAGTCTCAGATGAAAACAACAAAGAGAACAATTAACATCAGTAAGACCTCGGGTGCCATGTGTATTACAGCACAAAGATCTTTGGCTGGGCTCCGTTATTCCTCATTCAGGCATAATTAGTTTGGGTATCTTAGGAGCCTCTCTGGGTCTATGAAACTGAATTGGATGATGAGGTAGGTCTTCAGTTCTCACAGGATATAATTGCATGATTTCCTTAAGCAGAATTCAAATTTCTTGACATTAAGAGGGGAAAATCTCGTTCTCTTGCTTCTGCATGAGTTAATATTGTTTAAAATAAAAATTAAGAATGAACACATTTGCTCCTTAAAAGCAAATCATATGAGATGAGTGCATATTAAGTGAACAAACTTAGATGGGAGGGGGAACTAACCATCCCTAGGGGGCCCATGGATTTCAATAGAAATTTCCATGGAGTTATTATGAAGGATAACTTCCCTGAGGTTTTAGCCCCTGCATGATGGATTCAAGAGCTTTATTTAAAAGTCAGCCTGTACTGGCTTGTAGAAAGCTTTCAGCCTCTTTTTGCAAGTCATTTTTCAGCTTCCTGGTAATGAACAAAACAGGTCTGATAATTCTCAATAATAATCTCAGGAAATGTGTGGTGCAGGACTGCAGCTTTCAAGCAGTTGACACAAATCTAGTTTAGTCAGTGTGGAGAGTGGTGGTGCCTGAAGACGCCTTCTGTGTTTTGGGACCAGCCAGGAGCGCTGTATCAGCCACAGCAAGGACATATTTTGACTGGTTTTCATCAGTTTGACTTGAGCGGGTTTTTTTCTTTTTCTTCTTCTTCTTTTTTTTTTTTTTTTTTTTTTTTCTGCCTCTTGTAAAAGCATTTGGCTCTGAAGCAGAAAAAGAATTTTTTAGTTGTAATTCAAAGTACTCTTATTGTCTCATAAAATGTGAGCTGGAAGATTTACCTTATGGTTTGGCTGCTGGCTGGAAGTAAGCAAGAGTCCAGTGCATCAGGGGAAAATATTAAATGACCCCTTAAGATCCTCTTTAGCCTGAAATTATGGTCCGTACCCTTTTCACCCTGAGTAGAATTCCCAACAGGTCCTTAAATGAGGAGATCTGGAAGAAACATGCCCTCTTTGGTCAGAATAAGCACCCCAAATATAACAATCCAAAAGAAAAATAGCAACATTTTAAGGAAATGGTTTTGAGTGAGGTCTTCCAAGACACAATACTATGTGCTGACTCAGGGAAACAGGGCGACATGCTGAAAACATTTGCAGGCCTGGAAAATAACTGGTTTAATAATTCAAGATGCTTTTAAGTTACACAGAACTACATAAAAACAAATAAACCTCCATTCCCAAAGTGATGTTATATGTGAACCACTCCTGAAATGAAAGAAACAGAACTTAGAGTCTGATGCGAATTCAGCTTTGTGAAACTCTTAAACAACTGACAAAGAACTTTACCGCCCCACACCACATCCCAAATGGAAATATTCTTTTCATGACTTCAAAATATTTAGATGAAAAGTGAAATATTTAGTCAATACCCTAGATGTATTTTCATCTGGGTATCATGCATCTGAGTGTTTCCAGGGGATTTTCCAAGTGTTCCTAGGATATACATCAGGGTGTCTCAACTCTGGCACTAGTAGCACTAGTAATGCTTTAGACCAGATAATTCTTTGTTGAGGGGTTTGTCTCCTGCAAAGTGGGATATTTAGCAGCATTTTTAGTTTCTACTCACTAGACACCAGCAGCATTCCCCAAGTTGTGGCAACCAAAAATGTCTCCAGACATTGCTAAATGCAAAATTGCCACGAGTTAAGAATATACTTTATTTTTACTCATTAAATCCCAAATGCATCCTATGAGATAGTGTTTCTGTTATGATCCTATTTGTTCCAACTTTATAAATAACTAAATGTGACTTAGAATGTATTAAGTGACCTGTTCAATTTCAGTTTACTAAAGACAGGACGTCAACAGAGCCTACACTCTTTGTCCTAACACTGTAGGCACTCAGAATTTGAGTTAAACAATAATGTAGATGCTCTATGATCTAAGAGTTCCAAACATACAGAAATAAACACTTTCTTCAAAGAGTCACAGAATGACTTTATTCAAATGTCTTCTCAGTTCAAAGATGTACATTGGAAGTCAGGAAGGAGCACACAGTTGTCCATGCCTGGATGTGGGTAGCTGAGCCATATGTAATTGCTTCCATTTACTCCTTATTACTTGCATGTTCTTTCAGTTACCTGAGTGGATAGCTAAGTCGAAAGAACCCATCAGATCCATCATAAAGCAGATGGTCAAAACACTAGTTGACAGCAACCATATTTGACAATGGAAAGGGAATAGAATTTGTGAGATGAGCACGCCTAAGGATTTCTCTTTACTAGCACTGGAAATTTTTGAAAATTAACTTATTTTAGCTTCTGATTCCTTATCTGAAAAAGGATAATTGTAGCTATCTTACAAGGTTGTTGTAAGAAGATAGTACATGCAAAGCCCATGATATAGAACTTGGTATGTAATAGGCACTTGATATATGGCAGCCATTATTGTGATTCATTTAATAGCTATGAGACACAACAGAAGATCCCTTTATTTTCATGAGATGATTGGTGGAGGAGAGGAACCTGATAATATTTACTGAGTTTTTACTACATGCCAAGCAAGCACTGTACCAAATGCTTTACATGAATTATTGAATTTCATTCATGAAGTTGATTCCTTGCTGGTTATATTAAGCACTCCTTCTTTTGGTTTACTTATCTATTATTTATCTTACTTTCAGGAGGGCAAGGACCATGTTTGTTTTATTTTCTGCTATACACCAGTGCCTTTTACCTCAATCAATGTTTGCTGAATTAATAAATTAATAAACCTGTGAAAGAAAGGATGATCCCTCTAGGAATGATCTTTGACTCTCTTCTATCAAGTGCTCTTATTTCACAAGCAGCATTTCTGGGATGAATTCATTTCTTTATCATTCCTACAGCCATAGGCCTGCTCCTTACTGTCATGGCCTTGAGTCTGGACTGTGGCAGCCACATTATAATTCTCATGTGGTTTCTAGCTTCTTTGCACTCCCAGTCAAGCTCCTTACTGCTGCCAGGGTAATATTCCCCCTACACCCTCATCAAGAAGCCTCAGATGGATCATTGTCATGGACTAGGTCCAGACAAGCATCTTCTACTCAGAACCAAAACCTTTCATGATGGACCCCAGCTTGCCCTAACCCACATCACCTTCTACCATTTACCAATCCCGCCATTTATTTGGTGTATAGTTTATTAGGTGCCTCTAGGTGCCAGGTACTGTGTCCTAGGTACACTTCAATTAAACATGCTTCCTGTCCTGTAGAACATAAAATATATTTGGGGAGAAAAACATAAAAACAATTGCAACATGGTATCAATCCATTTGAAAGGAGCTGCATAGCGTGCAAGGTAGGTTCCTGGGAATGTCTGTAACCTGCACTTGGGAGGTCAGAGAAAGCTTTCCAGAGGAGAAAAGATATCACCTGACATCCAAAATAGCTTTGCTAGAAAAACAGTGCAGAGAGAATACATGTGTGAACCCTTGAGAGGAATGAATACGGCTCTCTCAAACTGAAAAAAGTTATTATCTGGAGAGTAGAGTGTGAAGTAGGTGGAGGAGAGGAGAAGAATGACAGATGCTTTGGAGAAGGGAGTGCCAATCACAGAGAGGGGCTGTTACCCACTTGAACCCTACTCTGAAGACAATGAGAGATCACAAAGCAATTTTGAATAGGTTAATTGAGATGTTACTGCTTGAGATCAAAAGCGGATGGTACTGCAATGGGCACTTCAATAAGTTACCATTTTGTCCTTATAAAATATAGGCTTGTAGAACAAATTCATACTCTGCTTCCAGAGCTGTAAAGGAAATGTCAACTACAGTTTAGAAAGGTGATTTTGGCCTTGGAGCCTGGGAGAGATCTGAAGAGCCCACACTCGGGTCTTGCCTGAGCTCTGTCAACAACTTTGGTTCTGCTCTGTGCCTCGGTTTACCTCATCTGTCAAATAACAGGGATTAACTGACTATATGACCTCCCAGGCCTCTCCCAGCTCCTCCCTTCTCTGAATCCTGGCCAGTGGTCATAAGGCTGAAGAACTGCTAAGAAGTCACCCTTGAGGAGCTCGTTAAAGTTCTAAACTCACTCTCCAAAATGCAGGTATTGTAAATGGGGACATTAAAAAAAAAGGGGGTACCCCAGGTGAATCTCAGGCAGGGATTCCTCAAAGCTTTGAGAAACTCTGAGAAAAATGAGTCTCTTCATTTAAATGGGAATGAAGCCTGGGAAGGGCCCACTCCTTTAGGCATTGGCCTATGAATCATCAAAAGGAGACTCAAACCCCCAATTAAACCTTTAGAACGTAGAAACCAAATAAGAATAGATCATCTCAAGAAGTGAAATGGACAGAATAAAAATCCTACCTTAGTGCTGTAGTCTGTGCCCTGCCCCATGCCAAGCACTTGATACTCATTAGTGCCTGTCAGTCACAGTCAGCTGCATGGGCAGATGGGCTGCATGGTCAGGTTCTGAAGCTAGGGGGCACAAGCAGGGAGCAAGGACGCCTTTGACCTTTGTGGTGAGGAGCATGCATCACAAATGATGACAGGCTTTGGTTAGCTTTTCTAACTTCTCATTTGGCATTGATGTTTCCACTATGTAGCGAACAGGCTTACCCTTTGCTTTCGTGTTGCTTCCCTAACATCTTTTCATTTTAACCGAAACAACTAACATGTCAAGATATTACCATAATATATGATTGAAAATATGCCACTTTTTGAGAACGTGCTCAAAGGAATCAATCTCCCACATTCCCCTTGCCTTCCAGTTATGCCATGAAGTAGATAAGATCAAAATCAAATGCTTCTAAGAATTCATCTATAGAAATCTTTGCAGGAGATAATCCATCAACCTTTGAGATAGGCAGGCCCTTAAAACCAGGGTGATTCCCTGCATACAAAACCATAACTAATGTCAAATTAGAGTAAACCTAACATTGGGTACTCTCGATCAACAAGGAAAAAAATGGAACCTAAGGAGAATTAGATTTGGCTAAGTGCAGATTCAGAATTAACAAAGGAAATAGGTGTTCTGACATTAATAAATATTTCTTGTTGTCACCATCAGAATATTTTTGGCATTGAGGAAGATGACACAATAGCCTAAATAGGAGGAGAATACAGAACGTTTAAGCATATTTGCCTTGATTTTTAAGCTCACTGGACCCTTCTGCTGCAAAGATTAATTTCCAGAGGGAACTTATTCACCAAGATCCAGTACTAATTACTTTGTCAGTGTAACTGCCATGGAGAAGAAAGCTCATATCTTAGAAGATAGGGCAGCATAAGTGGGGCAAAATGGACTTTGGAGGCAGACAGAACTGGATTTGAATGCTTGCTCCACCACTCTAGCTGTGTGTCTTTGTCAAATTGCAAAACTTCTCAAAGCCTATGCTTTCTCAACTGTAATGGGAATAACAACCAGGACTTTAAAAATGTATTCTAAGAATGAGAGAGAGGCCGGTCACAGTGGCTCATGCCCATAATCCCAGCACTTTGGGAAGCCGAGGTGGGCAGATCACTTGAGGCCAGGAGTTCAAGACCAGCCTGGCCAACATGGTGAAACCCTGTCTTTATTAAAAATGCAAAAATTAGCCAGGTGTGGTGGCACGCACCTGTAATCCCAGCTACTATGGGTGGTTGAGACATGAGAATCACTTGAACCTGGGGGGTAGAGGTTGCAGTTAGCCGAGATCGCACCACTGCACACCTCTACCACCTCCAACTCAGAGTCCTGTTAGAAAATAAGTTTCTGAACCTGGAAAACTGTGCACTCTTCTATAGACTCAGCCAAAATATGCCCCATCTCTCAACAATCTCCACCGTAGTACAAAGGTTTCCTTATAGTTTAGTAGCAGGTATTGTTTAATGCAGGGATTTTCAACATTCTATTGCCAAAAATTCCATTAAATCATGTTTTTGAAGCTCTTGCATACCAAATAGGTGATACTTATTCAACAAATTATTGTCCCATTTCTTATTAATCTAAGGTATAAATAATTTTCCCATAGAGGTTTTGAATGAACACCATTCATTCATCAGTAAATGTCTATGCAGTACTATGTGTAATGTGCTGGGGACACAATGCTCACAGAGACCTGGTTCCTGCTCACAGTTTGTTGGGAAGATGGACAAGTGAAAGGCATGACAGTGAGAAAGAGCCATGACAAGGCAAGTGCAGAGTGTTAAGGGAGTCTATGGAAGAGGCATTGCCTGTGACTTGGAGAGTTAGGAATGACTTTCTGGAGGAAGTACATCAGTCCCAGGACCTGAAGAATGAGTGAGAGACAGCCAAGAAAGACAACACAGGGAGAATGCTTTGGGCAAAGGGAACGATGTGTGCAAGTCTTTGGGATGAGTGAACAAGCTGAATTCCATAAAGGAAACATTTTTGGTGTGGCTGAAGTGTGACCTTCCCAACACATTTAGTCCTGTGCTGCCTCACGTTGGTCAGGTGGTTGATTTCAATTAGGCTTATTGCGAATATCTTCCAGGGTTTGTAAAATGCCAGCTGAGAATAGTCAAGGGCTTTGGTCAGAAAAAATCAAGCTAATTTCCAACCTCCACAGTTGAGTGTCTACACTGCCTTGGGCAGTGCGCTTATTCTCTTTAAGCCTCAATTTCCACATCTATGAACGAAAGAATAATATCTAGCTTGTCGAGTAGTTGGGACCATTAAATATATTGATGACTCTCTACTGAGGTACCTAATGGATTCCCTGACACATAGTAGCCACTCAATAAATCGCAACCATTCCAGTAGCCACCAGTGAGAGCTGAATTCTGTAAACTTCCAACTGGCAAATGCTGATACAGTTAATGTCTGTGGTCAAAACCCAGGTGTATCAAATTTAGTTTTGTTTTTGAAGACAAAAATCCTCAATAATATTTATACACTGATAATTCTCACTACTTTTGATTACTATGACCCAGATGCTCTGAAAAGCATTTATATTAAATTTTTATTTAACCCTTACAATCATGCTATGAGATCATTTCTATTTCTACAAAAGAAAAAGCCTCCTGATCTTAACTACATTTTCACATTTGGGGTTAAACAGTTTCATTTCCTGCACAAGTTCCCAGGGACTTTAATCTGAAAATATGCATTATCATATCTGAGATAGAGGAAAACAGTCTAAAGGGTTTTCCAGATGTATTTGATCATTAAATCCCATTTTGATTGGATGCAAATTAAAATTTCATTCAAATGTACTTTGTGAAATGCTAAAATATTATCAGCGCTATTTTATACCTGAGAAAACTGGGCCTCAGAGAAGTTAAGCAACTTTCCTATTGTCAAACAGCTAATAAGCGGGAGGGATTGTGATTTGAAACCAGGTCTTTCTAGCTCCAAAAACATACACTTGGCTACTGAACAATTTTTTTTAACGCAGCTCCAATTCTTAGAAAACATGTAAGGTACAAAAACATAGGCCGTTATACTAAAACCCCAACAACTCTGGGTAGAACGGTCTGAACAACAAACCAAAAAAAATCTTTGCATACCAAGTCAGGAGTCTTAGTCTTAAAGGATAGTGCCCACTCGTAGTGCTGGAAAAAGGTTTAAAAAAAAAAAAAAAAAAAAGCCACCCTGGTTCCGCAGTACCAATACCTCCCCGCTGTCAAGCAACTGCGCACAGCACACAATGATCCGCCTACCTTATTGATTCATCCCTGTAGCCTAGGTTGTTATCCCCACATCTCAGAGCTCAAGCTCCACCTACAGTGGCCCAGTTTTTCTACCTATCTCTCCCTATTTTAGTGGTGCTTAGTGACAGCTCACATCTGGTTGTACCCTCAGCAAGGCAACTGCAGCCCACTACTGAGTATATTACTAAAGCAAATGATTCATTTATCCCAAACCTAATAATCCCTCCTCAAAACTCAGAGAATATGAAAAAGAATTGCCCCATCTAGTTTCCTCAGCATTATGGGAACAGGCAAGACTTTCATTTACTTCAGCAGCCCATATGTTTGAAGGTCAAACAACACCTGGGTATTTCTTTGAAATAAACTAATTGAGCCTGGATGATTTAGAGTTAGTCTTGCTGAAAGACTCACTGGATCTCCAACGGTAACGCAAGACCTGCTTTTGAAAACTCTGGATTCCTCCAACCCCAGCTTTATCAAATGGCAAAGAATATTTGATGCTGTTCAAAGATTAAGGCCTGGATCAAACTGAGTAAAAAGAAAGAGAAAGGATTGCTTTCAAACTACTATGAAAAAGAGCCTCGGCCCCAGGTGTTCAGAGTGGTAAAGAAATCAGAGCCAGCCAAAGGGAAATCAGGCAGAGGGCCTAGAAAGGAATAGTTTTCAAATGCTAAGTGTGCATAGAAAGCAACTGGGAGGCATTTTAATAATGCAGGCTTCCCACCTGGCTTTTCCCTTATATTGCTCCCCACTTCCCTTTTTTTTTTTTTTTTTTTTTTTGAGACAGGGTCTCGTTTGGTCACCCAGGCTGGAGTGCAGTAACACAACCATAGCTCACTGCAGTCTCAACCTCTTGGGCTCAAACAATCCTCCCACCTCAGCCTTCCAAATAGCTGGGACTGCAGGTGTGTGCCACCATGCCTAGCTAATTTTTGTAATTTTTTTTGTAGAGACAGGGTTTCTCCTTTCCCAGGCCTAAACTCCTGAGCTCAAGTAATCCACTTGCCTTGGCTTCTCAAAGTGCTCGGATTACAGGCATGATATGGTTTGGCTGTGTCCCCACCCAAATCTCATCTTGAATTGTAGCTCCCATAATTCCCATGTGTTGTGGGAGGGACTCCATGGGAGATACTTGATTCATGGGGGCAGTTTCCCCCATAGTGTTCACATGGTAGTAAGTCTCACAAGATCTGAAGGCTTTATAAGGGGAAACCCCTTTTGCCTCACTTCTCTCTTGCCTGCCACCATGTAAGATGTGCCTTTCACCTTCTGCTGTGATTGAGGCCTCCCCAGCCGCGTGTAATTGTGAGTCCATTAAACCTATTTTTCTTTATAAATTACCCAATCTCAGGTATGTCTTTATCAGTAGCATGAAAATGGACTAATAAAAGGTGTGAGCCACTGCTCCCAGCTGTGTTCCCCTTTTAGCTGGTTTTCATGGAAACCTTGCTCATAGGAACACACCGAATTAACACATATTGAGACCAGTTTGATTCAGATTGGGAGAAATGCATCAATTTCACCTATTTGGTTTGTATAACATGCTGCCATGAACACCAGTTAGTTTGGTTTATGTCAGGCGGCTTCTATCTGAAAGCCAAAGGTGGCCTCAAGGTGGAAAATCCCCACTTTGCCTATTGGTCCTCCAGTTTCACAAACACATAGGACCTTGTACTTGTCTTTATCATTTTCAGTGGCACTGTGGTGAAGTATTTCCCCACTGCACTATTAATATCTTATTCTCCACTTGACTGTGAACTCCATGTGGATCCATGCCTATCTTGGTCATAACTGCATCCCTAGAATCCAGCACAATACATCACGGTATTCCCTAATTATTTGCTGAATTAATAAATGAATGGTATTAGAAACCAGTGACAGGGCTAACAAGAACTTTCTGGGACAAATACATTGGGTGATACACAATTTTTTTAAAAAATGGAGAAAATGCACAACCATTTATTTTCATCTCATAATTTTAAAATGTACATATTTACCAAGAATTATACTGTTTGGTTCCATCCACACTCAACCATTACGATTGAGGGAGAGTATGGAAACTGAAATAATAATAATAGAGTATAATAATAATAATGATCAGAGCTAAGATTTATGAAGGACTTGTGTGCCCAGTCCTGTGCTAGGTTTTGTTTATGTATTACCTCATATAATTGCCTCAACCAGTCTATGAGGTAGGTATCTCCATTTTATAAAATGGGGGGACTGGGAGCTGCCCATGAGGATTCCAATATGCCTGTGCTCTCAAACAGTATGCAGAGACTATAAGGGAAAGTTCATTCATTCATTCATTCAACAAATATCTGAGTATGTACTATTACTATCCTAGAACTAAATAGTGCAGATAATAAGCAAAAATACATACCATCTCAATTCTTTTGGTGTTTATAGTATAGTAGGGGAGATAGATGTTAATCAATAACCACACAAAAATGACAAATACACAGCTGTTTTAAGTATTATAAAGGAGCAATATATATCATTAGGAGAAATTGGTCCAAGGCAGCTGTATTGAGCTGAGACCTGAGGGAGGAGTAGACATTAACTAGGGAAGGAGAAGAGGGAGAAGTGCTCAAGGAAAAAGGAAGAGTTGTGCAAAGGCCCTGTGGTAAGAGGAAACATATGCTTGATGAGGGAATAAAAGCAAGCTATGAGAGGCTGGAATGGTGAAAGCAAGAGGCTGTATATAGCCAGAAAGGTAGGTGGGCCCTAGAGCAGTGGTTTTCAGACTTGAGTATATACATCAGAATCACTTGGAGGGCTTGTGAAAACACAATCTGTTGGACCCCTTCCCCAGAGTTTCTGACTCAGCAGATCTAAAGTGAGACATAAGATGTTGAATTTCAAAGCACACTACTGGGTGATGCTGATGTATTCTAAGACTACACTTTGAGAACCACTCCCCTAGACTAGGTAGCACCTGGTGAGTTATGGGGCAGATTTCTGACTGTGTCCTAAGAAGAATGAAAAATAATGAAAGGATTCTAAGCTTGGGAGTGACACGATGCAATTTACATTTTGAAAATGCAGGGTAGAGACAAGATGGTAGAGAGGCCAGGGTGGATGCAGGTAGATCAGTCCAAGGGTAAGTTGCAGTGTTCAGAAAAGACATCATTGTGGCATGGCCTAAGGTAATGACCAAGGAGGTAGACAGAGGTAGATGGGATTCAAGAGAGATTTAGTCAGTGAAGTCAGTAGAACTTGGTGATGAATAAGGGGGTTAAGGGAGAGATTAGCTGTTTGGCTTCTGCATGCACAAGTAAACAGAACAGTGGTGTTGTTCAGCGAGAGAGACCCTGGAAGAGGACCAGGCCTGGGAGAGAAGATCATGAGCTCAGTCTTGGACATGCTGAATGTGAGGTACCTTCAAGGCATTCAAAAGATGGTAAGTAGACAGTTGATATATGGGTCTGGAGTTAAGGGCAAGATCAAGACTGGAGATAAAACCATGAGCGTTCTGAGTATATATGCAACTTGAAAACCACAGGGGTGGATGAGATCACTGGGTAGAGAAATCAGAATAAGAAGAGAGGGCCTAGGACCTCCAACAACTAATGGCTGGGCAAAAGAAGAAGAACCTACAAAGAAGGACAAGGAACACTAGGAAAAAAAACAGAGAGAATTGTGCCCAGAAATCAGAGAAAGGGAAGGTACAGTAGGCAATAGTACCAGTGATGCTCGGATGCCAACTAAGATGAAGACTAAAGAATGTCTGTTGGATTTAGGAATGTGGAGGTAACCATGGTGAGAAGTAATTTGGTGAAGGGGGAGAAGAGAAGTTGGGAGTAGGCCACCATTAACATTGGGGAAAGAAAGTGTTTAATCTCCAACCCTCACTTAGTATTATTTTCAATATCCTTCCTTCCCAGTTATAGCCCAAACACGTTATTTTCCCTCCTTATTCACTGCCAAATGAATCAGAAGTTCACTCTTCTTTTTTTTTTTTTTTTACCTCCCACTTACTCTTCCTGCAACTCTAATTTGAATTATGGCCTATGAATATTTTTCCTAAATATTATAATTTATCTATTTTTATTTGTTTCAACACACAGAATAGTTGCAAAAATTTACCTTCTCTTAACAAGAAAGATATCATCTCTGATTTGTCACTAAAGGAGATCTCAAGAATATGAGGCTACAGGTCCTGATCTTATTTCTCTAACTGGTCACTTAACTTTGGAGAATGGGCAATCATGGGACTATTTACTGACTAGACCAGTGTAATGTATAGGCAATGTAAAGTTAAAGATCTCACAAGTCCTTTACTTATGTGAGAAGTCTGCCTACATAGGAAATCAATTTACTTTTCTAGTGCACATCACTTTCTGCTCAACAGCAAATTTAGAATCTGGAATTCAGAGCCTGTTAAATCAGGACACAAACCTTGGACTTGTAACTTTCCACTGGTGCAACGTTGGATAAGATATTCAACATCTCTGAGCCTTATTTTTAAATTTATGGTTTAAAAAGCATAACAATACATACCTTAAAATATAATTGTAAAGTATTAACTGCTTAGCATACTTTGTGTTAAACAATTCCATTGTAACAGAGTCACTATAGTGGTACTCAAGCAACCACAAAGGAGAAAAATAAGAAACAATCATACAAGAAAGTGTGTTCTCTAAATAACATCCAAAAATCCTGAATAATTTGTTTGGGCTTTTCTATACTAGCCCTTTTAAAAAACTTTTAAATCTGTTATACTTTCAAATGAATTCATCATGAATTGTGCCCTCTTCAACCATTATTGTACTCATCCAAAAAGGGATTTGTTGAAGTTGCTTTTCAAAATTCAATACTCCTTTCAGGTAAATGCTTATTTTTTTAAAAAAAAATTTAATTAAGTAAAATTAAATACTCCAAAGTTTTTACTATTTAACTTCTGTTTAAATAAAAATAAGAAATTGGGTGCTCATAAAACAAGAGAGAAATACATGAATGGAACTAGTCGGTTTAATTTAGGGTTGTGCAGATAAAACAAACATGAAAAAAACAACAAGGAAATCATGGCCTAACCCAATTCCCTAGGCAAAAGAAGCAGAATAGACAATGGAAATGTATACCATTCATTCATTTTTTCATTCATTAAATCAGTTCTGAATACTTAGTAAAAGGCCCAGGGCTAGGATCAAAACCAAAATAAATAGATTTTGTTGTTGATTTTGAACTTCCATCTTGTCAGATACAGCCTTGACTCATTGTTGAAAGCAGATGTAGAGCCACCAAATTGGATGCCAAGGAGAAGAGAAGAGGTGTGCTTTGTATGGATTCCATGGAGCTCCAGTGGTGGAATCAGTTAGCAGACAGTACTTACATGTATGGATTCTCTGCAATTTGGTAGAAGAAAAACAAATAATTACTGCATAAAAATTTCCACATTGAGTTTACCTGCCTATATCCAAGCCAACAGCAAGAGAAATGCCATTCAGAAAAAGTTCTCCATCCAGTAGCATCATTGATCAACTCACCAAAATAGTAATACTAATGATGACCATGATGATGATTGTGATGATGATGATATGAGTCTTTACCTAGTATTTAAAAGCAATGCACATGTATTTACCTATGTTATCTCTTTCTCCCTGGCAAAAACCTCAGCGTAGGGAGACTATTATAATCTCAATTTTTGAGACAAGGAAACTGAAGATAGGATAGATTAAGGTCACACCAGTATAAATGGCAGGATAAGACCTAAAAGTATTTATTCTATGGTGCTGATCCCATTTTAAAATTAACTTGCTTTGGCCCCAAAATAAGTAACCCAATTTGTGGATTTTTAAAATTCTATATCCTTATTTGCCCTAACAAATGACTCTTTGAAGGTCATAATAATTGCTACAAATCAAGGTTAAAACTACATTTCTCCCCCCCAGCACCACCTTTTTTGGTGTGCTTGGCAAAGCAGCTCAGTTTTCGTCCTAGAAAACTAGTCTTCCCCAACACCTCTCCTGGCAGGGGAACCCCGTCTAATAGACCCTTGAGCGCTTTCTGTAAATTACTCACTCTGGATCCTGAAGCTCAGCAAAACTTTCTCAGTCTAACCCAAGAGCAGTAACTATTTCTCGCACCAAAAGAATGCTCTCCCTCACTGCCATAAAGGCCTCTGAGAACAGCCAAAAGGGAATGGCAGATGGCAGAACTGCTATTCACTCTGAGGTCATCTATAGCACTGGTAGCCTGCAGACCTGAGCAGAAAGGGTATTCCTTCATTGGGGTAAGATTTTCTAGCCACAAACTTTTTGTTTTATTGCAATGATTTTTTTTTTTTTTTTCGAGAACAGTATCATCTTCTTCAAGGAAATTTTTGCCTTTCATGGGTCATTTGGAATTTTTGCTGAGACACAGCCTTGGCTAGCTCAGCATCAGATCCCTGTACTATGTAGGGGGTTATTTTTTAAATATAAGATCTGATCATTTTATGCTAAGGGGCTATATTCTTTGTGAAATTCTAAAGGCCAGTAAAACCACAAAGATCCTACTTTTCATTCAGCATAGGTTGCTGTGTCTTTAAACCAAAGGTATTCCTAGTTCAAAATGGAATAAACTTTTGAGAGCACTTATTATATTCCAGCCTCTGTGCTTAAAGGTCATATATATATACTATTGCTTTTATAATCACTACATGAACTCTTGAATGTGAGAATTATTATGAATTCCATTTTACTGATGAGAACATGGTTAGATAACTTGCTCCAAATATTGACAATTTTTGAAGCTAGTGATGGGTACACAGGGGATCACTGAGTTATTTTCTCTAATTTTGTCTATGTTTAAAATTGTTCATAATACAATGTTGTTATTGTTGCTTTTATAGTAACTTCCCAGAAGACCCCTAGCTCATGAGTAGAGTCTGGGGTTTTAAACCCAAATCTATTAGCCTGCAAAGCCCAAGCTCTTAAACATGACCATGCTGTTGAATATTGCCCAGTTGACAGTTTTAGCCAATGTCTACCTGATGCCAAAACAACTTCCTAGAAAACCAAAACCCAAACCAACGTCAGCATATTTGGTGTACTCAGCAGCAGGCAACCATCCTGAAATGATTCTTAGATCAAAATTATTGAGTGTATCACATTACAAAAAGCATTTTCTCAGTGAAAATGTCTAATTTTCAGAGCAATCAAAACTGCATCCTCACCACCAATAAGCTTTATTTATTTAGCATACCATTTGGGGTCTAAACAACCTCTCCTTAATGGGTATGTCAGGCCCAAGAACAGTAACGATGGCATTTGGCTGCAATCTCAACATGAAATGAGCACTACATTTGCTGTTTCCTGGTTATTTAGCCCTCAACATGGAAACCCATCTTAAACAATGACTGGGGGATCTTTGAGCCTGGGTCTACATGATCTTTTTGTTAAACACCTAACCAGCACTATGCAGCTCGTGTTTCTGTAACCGATCACTATTGATTTTATGACTTCATTCTCTGGTTTATTAAAGTGACATATAAAATATACTTGTTTCATAAGTGAAAGCAACATGTTTATTTTCTCCTGATAGAATCTTACAAGACCCTGTGATACATCCTGCCATCCTCAAATATTGGGAAACCAGGCTTAGGATTTATCCTGACACCAAATCTCTCGCCATAATTATGAACAATTTCTAGCTCCAGCTGCTGGAGACTTTATTCCCATGTCTTGCCATTTTATTTTCTCTTTGAGGAAACGTGAGATTTCTCCCTCTTGCCAAAGTTTGGTTTAAGTGGACCTAAGACTTGCCTGAGGGATAGTTTCTGGAGAAGCATGGAGTTCTGGAAAGCCTCAGCCATCTGTCAGGGGAAAAGCACTGCTTAGTTTGTAAAAAGAAAAAAGAGAAACTTCTCTGTAGAGCTTAACTACATAAGCTGAACAGGGGAAAGGCTGTTGGGGTGTGTTCTTATCACAAAAATGGCTTATTCAGATAATCCTTCTCAGTGGAGACCCTTCTACAGCTATGGTATTTAAACAGAAGGAAAGCGTTTTGATGCATTGAAGACGCTGATAAAGAAGCCATACAACAACCATTTCCTTGGCCATATCCATTATTCCATAAACATCCATATCAGATGTAAATAATCTAAATATGGAAAAAGTATAAAGGCGTATCTACCTCTTGCTAAAATAAATCACTAAAAATTGATGTATTTGAGCAAACCAGTTACCTTGGCACTATGGGGAAAGATGTAAAGCTAAACAAAGGTTGACCCCACTCCATGCCCATCCCAGCCCCCACTACAGTGAATTTAAGCAAATATGTCCTTGTAATTCTCAGATTTGATTTCTTAATCCAGGAGTTTTTATTGCTTATCAAGCCCTACATCTTCTTTCTATTATGAATATTTGACAACACAACCAACAGTTTCAAAAATATTAACATGATGACTTCACTACGAGATAGAGGAGAAATAGAGAAAATTAACTTATAATAAAATAACATATTTTAAAATGTAAGTGCTCAGGCATGATTACACTAGAAGACATACTGATCTGTGCATCCATTTATATAAAATCATTGTGGATTTTTAAAAAGTTAGAATACTCACAGAATATTGTTCATTCTTTCACTTTCCATTTGACAGTTTGAAATAAGAACTAAGGACAATCATATATACTTGCATAGAATTACCGTGAGTCTGACAGCTACAAACTCAAACCAGCTGTTACAGTGAAATTTCCATGAGTGGTGCCATCATTGTTGATTGGTGATATGATATTCTGAAATGGTGAACAATGCTTGGTAAAACTCTGAAGGTAGTCAACTATAACCTATCCTCTGTAGTTGCAGTCCTGGAAAATGTAATAATACTAAAGCATTATCTATCTATATCTATCTCTATCAATCATGTAGCCTCAGTTATACATAAAATAAATATATGCAGGTTTTCAACCACATAAATGTCCAGCAGGACATCTGAAAGTTATCCAGGACTCAGGAAAATTTACCATTTCTATGTCTACTTCACATATTGTAGGATGTCTGCAACTTCCAGACTCGACTCATTAAATGACAGTAGTGTCTCCCCAGTTGTGACAACCTAAATCATTCCCAAAGATTTCTAAAAAGCCTTCTGATAGTCATATTCCCTTTGAGAACCAATGTCTGATGGAAATATCAAGTCAACACTCTCCAATGCTTTCCCACAGAATTTGTGCTGTGGTCCCCACAAGGGATGCCCTAGTCTCACTTTCTTCCCAGATACACCCTTTATCCTTTATAGAGCTCATATAGTCTCTCACCTTCAACATGGCCTGCCTTTCGCCTGCTAGCTGGACCAGAACTCTCCTACTTCTGAATTCCCATTACGTTGATTATTTCTAGGGTTCATATCAACAACTAATTATCTGCTAACCCATACTGATATTTAAAAGCCGTATGAACATGCCTTATTCTCCAAAATCAACAGAAAAGTCCTTGAAAGAAGTCTTTTTAGTATTTTCTATCTACACAGTTCTATGGAGGCACTTGTGGACCAAGGTTGAGTTAATAAAGCTTAAAGTTTGAGGAAATGAGTTTCATACTTCTAGGATATATGAAAATGTAAATGTGGAGCAATCCAGACTGTAACTCAAGCTTCCAAGTCATTTCTCCACCTAGATGTAATTCTCACTGTACAAATTTACACCCATTCTCATTCAGAGTGCCTATTGGTGTTGCTCACACCAATATATATGCATGTATATGTATGCATATGTGTGTACATACATATATAATGTGTACACATAGATGTAGAATGTGGAATGATAGGCAATGGAGACTCAGAAGGGTGAGGGAGTGGATGATGAAAAATTATTTAATGAATACAATGTAAGTTATTTGAGTGATGGATACCCTTTATAAAAGTGTTGATTTCACCACTACGCAATCTGTGCAAGTAACAAAATTGTACTTGTACCCCATAAATTTATTGAAATTAAAAAATAAAAAATAAAAGACAAATGTAGGTATGGTCTGTTAAAAATGTATGGAATGAATGCATCATTCATATAAAAATATATGAACTGAACACTCAACATTAATGATGAGTGATAATTCATTCATTGGATAAATAGTTGTAAATTTCCTACTGTGTGGATTTAGCTCTGCAATGCCACTGCCACTGTTCATAAGAAGTTAAGCATCTTAATAATAACAACAGCTACATTAATAGAGTATTTAATCTGTCAGGTGCTTTCTGTGAATTTCACAGACATTACTTATTTAATCCTCAGAAACCCCAAGGAGGCAGGCACTACTATTCCCATTTTGCAGATAAGAAAGCTAATTCTTAGAGAAGTGAACTATCTTTCCCCTTATAAGCAGAAGAGGCAGAATTCTAGATTTGTCTGCCTCCAAAGCCTATGCTCTTAACCGCACCACCCTTCTATTCTTAGTTGAGTGATAGGAGGTGGGGGTACAATAAAAGACAATGATCAAAGAACTTGGGGTCCCAGAGACATATAGGATGAAGTGCCAAGGGGATATTGGTAAGGGCATAAGGGATGAATTCAGAGCCAGGAGTGACAATAGAAGGTGGCAATGGAGGTGCAGGGGTTAAGGTCACTCTTAGAAGGAGAGTGGGGTCTCTCCTATAACAGAAGGCATTCCAGGGATGAAGGCTAAGGAGGAGGCAGCACTGTACCCTCCTAGCACACAGGTGGGAGTAGACACCCATGGAGAAGAAACATACAGACTCAGGAGTATATGACTCAGGAGCTTGTAGGAGCTTTAGCTGGAAGCAAACCACACCAGGGAAGCTCACACAGCCGCCTGCACTGATGCCTCAGGAGTGTCCTGCAAACAACTCTCATGTTCCTCACGCAAGCCGGTCTCCTTTGTTCTCTAGCTCAGCCAAACAAACCATGTGAGTCATGCCCTGGCCCCCTCATATCTGTTCTTAGCCAGTTGTCTGCAGACACTCAGGAAGGAGGACAGATGAAAGATGAAATTACCTCTCTGGGTTTCAGGGCAGGCTGGGCCAACTGTGATAACTGATAGGGAAACCTCTGGAATTCAGGTTCAGTTTGGAGAGTCACCAAGAAGTGGATTACAGCTAATGGGAGGTTATATGACTTAACTCCAGCACCATGCACAGGAACAGCTAGAACAGAGGCGATGGCTAATACAGGACTACTCTCTTGGTGGACTGGAAACACTTACCTATGGTCCTCGTCTCTTCCTTGAGTCTAGGGAGCCATGGCTGCCATTTCTTCTCCCTGCCTCCTCCTCAGGAAGAAATGGTCTTCAGCCTCCCCTGTCAGGCCCGTTTGAGAAAAAGGAGTAGGAGACCCTGCATAGGTATCATGACTGTGTAGGTTTGTGAGCCTTTGTCAGGCTCTGCGCAACAAGTTGAATTCCTTGCTCACCAAGAAGTAACACTTATCCTGTAGTAAAAAGAAAAAAAAAATTTTGAGACAGAGTCTCGCCTGTCACTCAGGCTGGAGTACAGTGGCGCGATCTCAGCTCACTGCAAACTCCACCTCCTGGGTTCAAGAGATTCTCTCCTGCCTCAGCCTTCTGAGTAGCTGCGACTACAGGCACCTGCCACCACATCCAACTAAATTTTGTATTTTTAGCAGAGACAGGTTTCACCATGTTGGCCAGGCTGGTCTCAAACTCCTGACCTCAAGTAATCCGCCTGCCTCAGCCTCCTGAAGTGCTGGGATTACAGGTATGAACCATCACACGCAGCCCTCTAGGAAAATTCTTTAAGTCAAATTTAACATAATATGAAATCATAAATGCCCAGGGGAAATACACCAAACCTATATGCCAGGCCCAGTGCTAAACACTTTACCTGGAACTATCTAGTGTAATCACGATTAGAACAACCCTGCAAGGCAGGTGCCATGATCATTTTTATTTACAGATGAGAGAACTGAGGCAGAGCAATGATAAGCACATCAGGTTCTGCTACAACGCATGTTTGCTCCAACACGGTTGATGCGTGTTGTGAGCCACACCATCCTCATCTGGTGCTACAACTTTCCCTAGGATTCCAGATAACCAGCTCCTGCCACTTCACAGTAGCTTGCAAGTTGCAACCCTTTCCACCCCACTTCCATAGGCAAACCCTAGGTCTTTTTCCAGGTGGAGTGCCATATTTATATATTGTTGTATTTGTTATTGTTTTTTTAGCTATTTATCAAGTGTAAAGTTGTCTACTGTTTCTTTAGTGTTAAATTAAATTTGGCCTAAAGCTATCTCCATATCTTGAGTCTGTATGTATCAAAATGCAACCTAACTTACAAGTATATTCTTGTAACTAATGGCTGCGTCTCAGCCAATCATAGCAGCTGAGCTTCAGTCAATCACAGGCTGCCAAATGATTAGAACATGTCAAATAAGGCAAACTACTGAACTGCAACCAATCAAGCTATTGTTATACCTCACTTCCTTACTCTGTCTATAAATACTGACTGCCCACATTGCTGCATGAAGCTCTCTCAAGCTCTCCTGTGCAACAAGTCAAATCCCTTGTTCACCAAGAAGTAACACTCATTCTCTAGTAAAATTATTTAAGTCAAATTTTGGGGGCTTCCCAATTCATGAATCATTCTTTGCTGAAATAAACTCTACTAAATTTAATTATCTAAAGTTTTTCTTTTAACATTAGGTTTCTATCTTTTTTTTTAACATGTCACTGAAAAAGTTGTTTTGTGCTGTGCCCTGAGCCCCATTTTCCTCATAAGCCTTGTGCTTTGTACTGCCCAATTTAGCATAATGCAGTGAGTTTATGGAACATATATGTTATGTTAAACAATAGCTGTTTGCTGAGGTTACATGGCTAGGTAGTGGCCCAGCAGGGATTCAAACAAAACTTGCTAGAAAACCCAGCGTAGCTTCTTAATCCCTGTATCTTCCTGCATTGGTACACATATTCTCTTTTAATCTTCACAGCAACCTTAAGAGGTCTTATTATCCCTATTATACAGTTGAAGAAGTTGAGATTCAGAAATTATCACTAAAAGCTTCAATGGAATTAACCAAATATGGTAACTGAAATTTACACTCAAGTCTGTTTACTTCTGAAGCACTTACCCAAACCAGGACTTCAGCAGTCTGTATAAATAGTAAGGTTTTGTACTAAAGGGATAATGCCACAGGTCTACACAAATCTTAATTGACAGTTACCAATTCAGCTCTTTTTGACTGGGTAAAGAATCAGTCCTTAACATTAAGAGCCATTATCTGAACTATTTTTCCATTCCCTTGCTTCTCTGTTGTTGCTTTTGTTCATTCATCCAGTCCTTCATCAAGTATTGAGTCCACAGATATGATATACCTGATGTTTAGTCTTACCTTAAGTATCACTTTAGAGCTGCCTTCTATAATTCATGTCCCACCAGTTCAATTAGGAGGTTCTTTTATTAATAGCACCCTTTGTCTCCCTTCCCCAGTACTTACCACTAGCAATGATGGTATGATTATTTGTAAAGAGTTCTTGATCATCTTCCCCCGTGATGGTACAGTCAATGAGAACAGAACATGTCAGCATCCAGTGCCATAACCTGACAAATAGTAGCTGCTCAATAAATCCTTGACTGTTTCACTAATGACCTTAGACCTGGCACTGATATAAAAAGAAGCCCACAGAACATCTTCATCCTAGACAAGTGCCTCTTCAACAATAAAGTTTTAAAGGTTATTGAAAGTCTTGAGCTAGAAGGATATATCCCTGCAGTGAGTTCACAGAAGGACTGTAAAGAAAAAGTAGCTGACAGACGGAAAACTGATCCACAACAACTTCTATAAACGGACCATGAAATAATCAGGTTCCTTGGTCTTTTATTTGTTTCTGGATGGAGTCCCAGGCAGGGAAGATAACCTTCGCCTCAGAACAATGTGGCGCATCATCTGTAAATGTAATGAGATGATGAATTATTCCAGTGTCATTATGCTCATGATTTATGGGGAGACATTATCTGCTAAAAGCCAGGGCTGAAAGAATATTGATTTCACTTTTACTGAGACAGCCATTTAAAACTTTTTAAAGACAGCAAATGATTGTTTAAAAGACCAGCTTCAAAAAGGCCAGTTTCAAACCATTCGGTGGGGAGCGGTGGGGAAGCAGAAATGGTGATACAGCTCCTTTAAGACCCCAGTGGGCAAAGTTAGGTCATCCTGCTCTATATTCTCCAGCAACACCTTGTACTTCTCCTTTGCAGCATTTGGTTGCATGCACAGGATTTTATACCAGATTATTCTTTAGGAAACTTACAGGTTCAAAGCTGAGTTTTATTTTGCTCAGGGAAATCATTTTCTGTCCTTTATCCCAATTTATTTTGAAATCCAGAGGTGCGGTGGCTCACGCCTGTAATCCCTGCACTTTGGGAGACTGAGGCAGGTGGATCACCTGAGGTCAGGAGTTTGAGACCAGTCTTGCCAACAGGTTGAAACCCCATCTCTACTAAAACTACAAAAATTAGCCAAGCATGATGGTGGGCACCTGTAATCCCAGCTACTTGGGAGGCTGAGGTAGGAGAATCGCTTGAACCTGGGAGGCAGAGGTTGCAGTGAGCCAAGATTGCACTGCTGCATTCCAGCCTGGGTGACAGAGTAAAACTGCATCTCAAAAAAAAACAAAGAAAAGAAAGAAATCCAGCAGATTGGTGCTATTTGGTAGTAGTAGTGGTGGTGATAGAGAATTCTTCTTTCTCCCTTAGATGAAATAACACTATTTTCTAAATCACATACTCTTATGCTGATAACTAATTAGGCTTCCCCTAGAATATAGAAAGACCATACATAGTGAATTTTTTAAAAGAGAGAAATGACAATATAGAACAGGATGGTAGATTTGGATCCATGCTAGTGAATTAGGTGGAAATTAATATGTCAGGCACTTAATAACCATATTTATTTAATCCTCCCAACAAGTTTTCAGAATAGCAATGATTGCCTTCTTTTATAGACAAGGAAAATGAGGACTGGGGATGGTAAGTCCAAGTTTATAATAATGGTTGGCAGTACCTGAATTTGAACCAATGGCTCCTATTTCTTTTCTTTTCTTTTTTTTTTTTTTTTTTTTTGAGATGGGGTCTCACTCTGTCACCCAGGCTGGAGTGCAGTGGCATGATCTCGGCTCACTGCAACCTCTGCCTCCCGGGTTCAAGCAATTCTCTGCCTCAGCCTCCTGAGTAGCTGGGATTACAAGCACCCACCACCACGAGCTGATTTTTTGTATTTTTGTATTTTTAGTAGAAACGGGGTTTCACCATGTTGGCCAGGTTGGTTTGAACTCCTGACCTCATGATCCACCCACCTTGGCCTCCCAAAGTGCTGGGATTACAGGTGTGAGCCACTGCGCCTAGCCAGGACTCCTATTTCTAAACCGAGTTGGCTTCTAATCCCAAACTTAACACAACACGGTCTGAAGACTAAAATTTTCTCCATCGTTGAGAACACCTGATGAACACAGAACTGCTTGCTCTTCCCAAGAAACCCCTTCCTGCCTCTCGGTTCATAAGATCAGGTGTTCTCAGCCATGGAGAAAATTTTAGTCTTCAGACCATGTTGTTTTAAGTTTGGGATTAGAAGCCAACTTTCTTTTCCTCTGCTTGGTCAATTATGCATAGCTTTTATTCCTTGTTTTCCTTTAAGGCTAGTCAGCTGAATAAATATAATCTCTTCTTCATCTTGTGTACCAAATATTAATTCTTCTTATTCCTAGGTCATGATTTTCTGCCATAAAATGAACATCCTGAAGTTGAAGGGGATCCTATAAAGACTCTATCTTAGGTACCACAATTTGGTTATGCATGGGCTGAATATAACCCCAGATGTGTTTTTTGTTATTGTAGTTCATTTAGTTTTATTTTGGCTAGCATATTCTCTTATATATATAAACTTACATGTAATTCACATATGATACAATTCACCCTTTTACAAAGTGTAAAACTCAATGGTTTTTAGTATATGTACAAGGTTGTGTAACCATCACTACAGTCCATTTTAGAACCTTTTAATCACCCCCAAAAGAAACTCTGTGCCAGTGAATAGTCACTCCCCATCTACCTTAACTAAATCCCACAGGCCTAGGAAATGACTAATCTAATTTCTGTCTCTATATATTTGCCTATCTGGATATTTTCCATAAATGAAATCTTATAATGTGTGGGCATTTTTGACTGGTTTCTTTCATTTAACAGCATGTTTTCAAGGTTTATCTATGCTGTAACATGTTATCATTTTTAATGGCCTAATAATATTCCATCATATGGATATACCACATTTTATTTGCCCTTTCTTCAACTGTTGGATGTTTCTCTCCCACTTTTTGGCCATTATGAATGATGCTGCTATAAACATTTATATGTATACAACTTTTTGTGTGACTATGTTTGCATTACTCTTGGGTATACATCTCGGAGTGGAATTGTTAGATCATATAGTAACTCTAAGTTTAAACTTTTGAGATACAGCCAGACTACTTTTCAAAGCAGCTTCAAAATATTAAAGTCCCTTTAGTAGTGTATGCGAATCCTGATTTCTCCACATCATCATCAACACGTTATTATTTGTAATTTTTATTATACCCATCTTAATGGGTGTTAACTGATAGCTCTTTATAATTTTCATTTGCATTTTCTGATAACTAATAATGTTGAGCATCCTTGCATGTGCTTATTGACATTAGAGAAATGTCTATTCACATCTTTACCCATTGTTTAATTGGTTTGTCATTTTATTGTTGAGTTGTAAGAGCTCTGTATATGATCTAGGCACAAGTCACTTATCAGAGATATGACTTGCAAATATTTTCTCCCATTTTGTGGGTTGTCTTTTTACTTGCTTAATGGTGTCCTTTAAGTGAAACAGGTTTTAATCATGATTAAGTCCAAGTTATTTATTTTGTTGTTGTTGCTTGTGCTTTTGGTGTCACACCTAAGAATCCATTGCTTAGCAAAGTTAAAAAGATTATTTTATTCTAAGAGTTTTATAGTTTTAACTCTTATCTTTAGATCCGTGACCTATTTTGAGTTATTTTTTGTGTCAGATGTGAGGGAAAGGGCTAACTTAATTCTTTTGCAGGCAGACATCAAGTTTCCCAATATCGTTTGTTGAAAAGATCATTCTTACTACCATTTAATTCTTCAGATGCCTTTGTAGAAAATCGGTTGACTATAAATGTCGGGGATTATTGCCAGACTCTCATTTCAACTCCATTCATCTATATGTTTATCCCTATGCCAGTACCAGACTGTCTTGATTACTGGTATTGTAACAAGTTTTAAAATTGATGTGAGTACACTAACACTTTTCTCATTTTTTTCTAGCTTGTTTTAGCTATTCTGAATCCCATGAATTTTTATATAAACATTAGGATCACCTTGTCAATGTCTGCAAAAAAAAAAAATCTACTTTGGATCTTGAAAAGCATTGCATTGAATCTATGAATCATTTTGGGGAGTAATGACATCTTAACAATATTAAGTAATTCAATCCATGAACATGGGATCACTTTCCATTTATTTAGGTTATCTGTAATTTCTTTCAACAGTGTTTTATAGCTTTTCAGAGTATAAGTTTTGTCCTTCTTTCACAAATTTATTTCTTAATATTTTACTCTTTTGATGCTATTGTAAATGGACTTAATCTGTTAATGTCATTTTCAGTTTATTCACTGCTACAGTGTGCGGATACAGTTGATTTTTGCATATTGATCTGTGTCTTGCAAGCTTGCTGAACTCATTTATTAGTTTTAATAGTTTCTTTAGAGTTTTCTATATACAAGATCATGTCATCTGCTAATACAAGTAGTTTCACTTTTTCTTTTTAATTTGAATGTCTTTTATTTCTTTTTCTTGCCTAATATCCCTGACTAGAACCTCAAGTATAAGGTTGAGATAGCATAAGTGGATATTCTTGTCTTGTTTCTGATCTTACGGGGCAAGCTTCCCATGTTTTACTTTTAAATATATTGTTAGCAGCTGGGCACGGTGGCTCACGCCTATAATCCCAGCACTTTTGGAGGCCAAGGCGGGCAGATCACTTGAGGTCAGGAGTTTGAGACCAGCCTGGCCAACATGATGAAACCCCATCTCTACTAAAAATAGAAAAAATAGCCAGGCACGGTGGTGCATGCCTGTAATCCCAGCTACTTGGGTGGCTGACACAGGAGAATTGCTTGAACCTGGGGGGCAGAGGTTGCAGTGAGCTGAGATCACACCATTGCACTCCAGCATGGGCAACAGAGTAAGATTCTCTGTCTAAATAAATAAATAAACAAATAAATAAATAAATAAATTGTTGTGGAGTTTTTGTACATGCCCTTAGTCAGGTTGAGGAAATATCCTTCTATTCTTATTGCTTTTGTCATGAAGGGATTTGGAATTTTGTCAAATACTTTTTCTAAATCTATCAAATTGCTTATATGTTTTTTGTTCTTGATTCTACTGATATAGTATATTATATTAATTGATTTTTAGATGTCAATCCAAACTTGCATTCCTGGGATAAATCTCACATTGTTATGGAATATAACCCCTTTTATATATTACTGAATTCAGTTTGCTAGTATTTGGTTGAATATTTTGTGTCTATATTCGTAAGAAGTATTGGTCTGTAGTTTTCTTGTGATGTCTTTGTCAGATTTTAGTATCAGAGTAATACTACCCTCATAGACTGATCTGGGAAATGTTCCTTTCTCGTCTATATTTTGGGAGAATTTGGTGAATAATTGATATCAATGTTTTAAGTTTTGGTAAAATTCACCAGTGAATTCATCTGGTTCTGGACTTTTTTTTGTGGGAACTTTGTTACTCCTGAACTCAATCTCTTTGTGTTTTATGGATCTAATCAGCTCTCCTATCTCTTCTTGAGTAGTTTTGGTACTTTGTATATTTCTAGGAATT